TTCTGCCTTTCTGTATTAAAGAATAGTTGCCTGATTTAATGTTGGCAATAGTCTCAAACAGCCAAATCTAGAAGAAGGAATGCCTCCTTCCATATATGCCTGCCTATGCCTAAGAATATCTTTGGAAGGCCTTCTCTGAGAGCCCTCTCTAAAAGAGGTAAGGAGGGTGGCTACCAGGGGAAGGGCCTTTTCAGCTGTGGCACCTTGTTTATGAAACCAGCTTCCCAAAGAGCCTGGTGTCGACTCACTATTCTTTCTGGTGCCAGGCAACCCCCCTTTTCATTTTCCAAGTACTAGTTAAGTTTGATATTGTATATTATGTTTTATATGATATTTTGTCTTGGATTGCTGGGCATCCTCTGGTCTGAGTTGTGGTGGTTGCGTTGTTATGGACTAGGTTTGGGGCCTTGGGGGGATTATTGTTGGGGTTATATTTTTATATCTAAATATAGTGTTCAGTTTATATGTAAGTTTTAATTCTATTGTACTTTTTATTGTTAACCATTTCAGAGAGCTGTTTGGCTGATGAACAGTATAAAAATATTCTAAACAAACAAGCAAAGAAGAACTGGAATGTGTGGTGAGCATTTTCAAAAGAATAAGAAAAAGAAACCTGCCTTTAAAATACACCCCCCACATGCGCACACACTTATATATACTTACACACAAGCCAGGGATATAAAGGATCTGAAAGGAAAGACATGGAAGTTTTGTGACAGAGATCTGCAGAACAACAGAGGCTGCTATCAAGTCATAACACAATGGGGCAAGCCACATCTCTCAAACTGCTGGCCATGGCATTTGCTGCACGCGTGCACCCCTACACACATGCGCATGTGCACACACAAGTGGAGTCATGCACCAAGTGCGAGGATATTGAATGAATGCATTATCTTCACCGTACTGGGCTCAAAAGCAAACCGCTTTCTGGAAGTTGTTGTGTGGATGACAACAGTACCTGGTAAGCACGCCAGGGACAAAATACCTTTGATTCAAAAGAAATGGGGCTCGGCCTGTACTGAAAAGACCTGTGGCTACCATGAGCCGTTAACCAGAAAATGACCATAGGAAATGCTCTTCAGAGAAAATGAACATACCAAATGCCCTTAAAACACACTGTTTTGTGCAGTAGTGTGTGCGTGGAAGACCAGATGTGCCATCACATGTCCCTCCTTTGGAGACTCGGCAGAGATTGAAGGCCAAAGTATACACTTTGAAGGAGACTGGTGACTGGATCTTCCGATTTATTTGTTGTTTCTTTTTAAATCAGCCATTCCCATGATTTAAAGTTGGTCTGCTTGATGGATGATCTAGCACAGGTCTGGGCAGAAGGAAAAATCTCCAGAAGCTGGGCTTGTAGGAGCTGAAGTTCAAAATATCTGGAAAGTACCCCATCCCTATCTCTGCCTTGCCCCCCTGGAGCAGCTACTGGGTGTACTAACCCAATGCTGTGGCCCACTTAAACCTCCTTTTTTAAGAAAATGAAAAATATATTGGGAAATCAATTGCAGATCTCCAACAAAGATCTGTTTAAGTTTTGAGTGTAAATATCTTTTTTCTTCTTTGGGCTGTTATTTTATTTTTAGAAATTAAGACATATGGGATTTAATAAACTTCTGATGTCATTATTTAATATAGAATCTTACGGGTCCTTAAAGTTTAACACATTTTTCTGGCATAAGCTTTCATGGATAGTGTCCACTTCACTTTTTTAAAATGTCTGGCTTTAGATCCTCTCCCTATCCCCTTGAGCCCTCTGCAGTGAACAAGAACCAAATAAAATGCAAATAAAAATAAAAGTGTTCATTGCTTCTGATTTTAGTCAGTGAATATGCTTGATTTTCATATTTGCATATGTTTTATGTTTCATGAAACTAGCTTGGGCTATTGGCTCTTCAATGAACAAATACCTTCATGGATATCCATCTCAAGGCTTTGGATAATGGGAGGTGAAATATTACATTTCTGCTCCCAGCTCACCAAGCTGTTATTTCAATTAGATACAAAGAAATGGGGGAAAAACCCAGTGCAGCAAGATGTGACCGCAGCGTTACTACTGTTTGCTATAGTTCATAACTAGTTTGCACTTCATTTTAAAATCAGTGAGCAAACATTATATGTGACTGATCTCACTGTTGACAGGAGCATATTTAAAAGAAAGGCAAGTAAAATTAATATTTCAAGAAAAAGCCAGCAAAGTACACAAGGGGAGAGTAAATCTGGAATCCATAGTAATGACTTTTATACACATTAGGGATCAAGCGATAACATTATTTCCCTTACACATTTATTACTGTGATCTCAAAGATATACGCTGAGGTTTACTTGGCAGCGCTGTTTCTATTGGTACGTAATAGCTGGCGACGACCAAGAATCCATTCAGAACTAAAGGAAAACAGCTCCTTCCTTCCTCTCTGTTTGCAAAGAGCTGGTGTTGTTATTCAGCACCACGGATAGATCAGCTACAATGCACCAGCCTACAGCGATCAGCAAAAGAATACTGCGTGAGAGAGAGTTTTAAATTAAAACGAAACATTGTTTTCTTTCCCCTGATTTTTTTTCTTTTTTCAGAGAAGGCTGATTAGATCAAGTAGCAAGCACTTTCTGTTTTGAAAGTGAACGCTCTTTCTAAGATCAGTCTCTGCCTGGCAATGGAAGGATATTTTATTTATTTATGTATTTGTTTATTGAAAACTTTTATATACCGCCCCATCACTGACGTCTCAGAAAAGGGGGGACTCTAGCCTCCCTTGGAAGGGAGCACCACAGTCTGGGAACCCCTTTTGAGTTGTCACCAAGCATGACTCTGAAGGTGGTGGTCTTGAAGGAAGGACCCCGACAAAGACCCAAAGGCTTGGGCAGGTTCATGCAGGAGAAGGCAAACTTCCAGGTGGCCTGGTTCGAAGCCAGATGAAGTCAGACCAGCACTTGGGATCTGCCCAGGCACAGTCAGGTAGGCACTGACAGTGTCGTTTACAAGGGAGTCCTGTGTTCCCTGCAACAACCCTCAGTCAACAGTCTGGCTGTAGCATTTTGGACCAGCTGAAACGTCTGAACAGCTTTGTTTGTTTGTTTGTTTGTTTTTCGATTTCTATCCTGCCTTTTTCCTACAAAGGGCTCAAGGCAGCTTACATCATTCTCCTCCTCCATCTCATCCCCACAACAACAACCCTGTGAGGTGGGTTGGGCTGAGAGTCTGTGACTGGCCCAAAGTCACCCAGTTGGCTCCATAGCTGAGCGGGGACTCGAACCCAGATTGTCTGAGTCCCAGTCCCATGCTCTTCACCACTACGCCACCCTGGCTTTCAAGGGCAGGCCCATGTGGAATGCATCACGGTGGTCCAAGTGGGCTCTAACTAATTGCACTTGGTGGGCAGGGTCTAAAAGGAATGAGTGGGCAGGGTCCCAGTCTCAGATCAGCTCCATTAGGGCTTGGGAAGAAAACACTGGGACAAATCATTGCCCCCAAGAATCATTTTTCCTGTTTGCAAAATCATGCAAGCATAACAGAATCATATATATGTGTGTGTGTGTGTGTAGGACTTTTTAATATGAGTGAAATATTGGTTATCTGTAAATTTATTAGAAATGAGTTTTCCTTTTAGCAGGGATTGGGAAAGAGAATCCTCCATTTTATATTAGAAATGAAGGAACTATTTAATAGTTTTGTCTACTTTTTGTTTGTTTGTTTTGTTTTAAGTCATGCGTGTTGCAAACTCTGGAATTAAGCCAAAGAGTGTCAACAGAATTCATCATTTATATGGAAGATCAAATATATCAGTTAGAACATTCCCAATAACATAAGTACTTGTGAGAGTTTCTGCATCTCTGACACTTGTCTGTAGATACTGATTTTGCTTACGGGCTACCTGTGTTGCATTTCAGTGGATGCATTTTTTCCTGTGCAAGAACTAAACCTTCCCCAAACATTTTAGCCAAACTCACATTCTTTGCTTTTAACTTTTGCCAAGTGTGCCCGAGCTCCTTGGCACTAAAAGCAGACTAAAGACAGACCTTTTAGCGTAGTCCTGAAAATTTCTGTTGTTCTGGAAAAAAAGAAAATAAAAGAGACCATGTCCGGGGGTCCGGACATGGAAATCCCATCCATGGCCCATGACAAAGTCCACTGGATGCCTAAAGGCAAGTAAATTTTTTTCAGCTTCACTTGCCTGCTTTGTGCACTTATCTAGCTATTGTTGTTCCTCTGAGTAACCCCAAACATTCATTCATCACCAGTGATGTGCTCGGTACTGAACAGTACATGGAGGAAAGGAAGGCTCTGTTTGGAAGGTATTTCATTGCAGGCACAGAGTGGGATCTGTCTGACAGCAACTACAAGTATTCCTGCCTTGCTTGTACTGCAGGTACACTTTAATCCTTCTCTCTGTGAAAGGGTTTAAAGTTGCTACCAAAGAATTCTTGAAAAATGCAAAACAGAGAGAGGCATAAACTGCCACGTTCCCCTGCATGCAAGTCAATCCTAGTATTGCTCCTACTATGGAAAAATCACATCTGTGGGATTTTTTGTTGCACACCTGCTAAATAGGGCCCTACCCGGGGAGTGGGGGGGGGGGCAACCCCGCTTGGCTATCCCAATTCCTTACAAACTGAAGAAAGAAATTGCACTTTAGCGGAAGGGAACGTCAGTGAAAGCCTGAGGGAAGCAGAGGGATGCAGTGATGCTGTTCAGACGAGGGCCTCTTCGAGATCCTGCCCTGCGGAGCGGCGTGCGTCGTTCTGGGGCCCGGGATCGCGGGGTCTCCATCCCCGGCGCCCGCCTGAAGGCCGGCGGTCAGCCCGCCCCCAGGAAGGACAAGAGGCGGCGAGGCTGCAGGGCCACCTCCTTTCCAGGGAGGCGGGGAGGCCCCCCCCCCGCTTGGCAGGAGATCAGGGGGCGGCCTCGCTCGCCCCCTGCGCCCTCCTCCCGCCCATAAATAGCCCAGCGGCGGGAGGCGCGCAGGCAGACGCTGCTCCCGCAGGTCCCGCTCGCAGCCGGCGGCATGTGCTCCGGCCGGATTGAGGCTCCCCGCAGGGGGCGATCCTTCGACTCCACCAGCGGCAGCTTCGACGAGCATCAGTTCCACAACGTGGTCGGGAGCGTGGCGCCTCTCTCCGTCCTGAATGGGGTAGGTGGGCGGAGTGCTCCGGTTCCTGGACCCCGCAAACCAAGACTTTCCCTTGGCTTGCTGAAAGCGTGAGCAGATCCGAACGGCAAAACAGCTGGCTCCTCTTTATTGTAAGGAGAAAACCTTGGTGAAGCCGAAAGCAAATGAAATGCTTTGGAATTTGAAACCTCCTGGGGATCCCCCCCTCCCCGTTTTTGGAAGTGGAAACTCTCAGTGTTTTGCCCTTCGTTTGCCCATCTGAAACAATCTAAGTTGGCAGCACTGTACCCATTGGCTTGGGATTCACTGCTGAGTAGACTTGCCTGGGGCTGCACCGTAAGAGTCTGGCATGCAAGCGACTCTTAAATTAAGCGACTCTTAAAATTTAAAGTTTAAATGCAGAAGCGACTTTGCTCAGGTTGATGTGTTCCATTTGCACATGATGCTTCCCCAGTCTGTCCATAATGACAGTTGTGATTCCGGGCTAGAAGGCATTCCTAACCTCATCGCTTAGTAAAGACACTTTTAGAAAGGGAAAGGGAGGTAAAAGGAGGGGATTGATCTTCTCCAGCTGGGTCTGGCAGCTGTTGTGATGGTGCTTAGAGTAAGCCCCCCCCCCCAAAATTCAGTGAGTAGAAAAGAACTAATATGCAAGATTTGTTCCTGCCTGTTTTCGATTCTGTGCAATGTGAAAATGTACTGGCAGGTTGTATTCACATAACTGGTAATCCCACCTGGATAATTCAGGCAATTTACCTAAGCAAGGGCCTGTATGGCTATGGGCAGTTCAGGCTGGCACTATTGCACATAGCTAGAAGCATGAGGGGAAAGTATGTATAGGCTCGTATCCTGAACACTTTGGTGGAAAGTCACCTGTAGGCAGACTGATTTATGTTTATTTCCAGGAAGCAGGAATGGATTGAGTTGCCCTGTCCATGTGCATTTTTAGGTTGCGATCAGCTGATCCCTTCATCTCATTCATTCCATACGTAGAGCGCAATCCAAGCACTCTGAGGAGGGCGTCTTTGCAGATGATGCCAATGGACATCCCAGCAGAGAACTCTTTATAAAGATCTCAGCAGGCATTGCATGCTCTTGGGCGCAGATTCAACCCATGCCTTACCTAAGTCTTCACCACTTCCCTTACTGCCAGGGCTCAGATGAGACCACTTGCTGCCAATCCCCATCATGTCAGTATAATATAAATTGCAAGTGCTAAGTGGTACAGGTTCCTAAGAATCATTGGGCTGGTTCACCTAACTATAATATTGTCCACCAGATATGGAGAAATCCATGAGCAAGACATGTGCCATACTCAGGGCCAGCCCTGCCACTTAGTAGGGTGAAGTGCTCACCTCAGGCAGCTGATGCTGAGGGGTGAGAAATGGAGGACAGAGCTGTGTTTACCACCAAGCCTTCCTGCATCCCCTACCTCAGCCTCCTGCCCCCAGGTGTGAGGCAGGCTGCTATCCCACTGCCAGTGCTGAAGAAAGATTCGGTTGCTAGTCCAGTTGGCGACAGAATGAGGGACAGAGCAGGGACACAATCTTGTTGTTTGCCCCAGGCAGCAACTATCTTGGGCCAGTCCTGGCAAGATCCTTCCTGTGATGTTAACTACCATTATATAGCGATAAGAACTACACCATCTCTGAAAATGGAGGCTGCACTTCGGAAGGGCTGTAACAGCTCATAGTCGCAGACAGATTCAATCTTAAAGTTTCCGTGTGAGCCTTTAAAAAGTTATCAGTGGTGGTGGCTCCTAGTGAGCAAAGTTCCATAGATGAACTGCATCCTTTAAGAAGGTGGCCTTCCTTCGATTTATCTTAAATCCAAAGCCTGCTAATTTCAACAGATTTCAGTACAAGTTATGTGTTGAGAGGGATACAAATAATCTTTCCCACTCATTCTCTTCATATCCTTTATGGTTTGTTTTTCATGTTTTTAATTCAGTTGTACGTCACCTAGACAACTTCAGTAATCAGGCTATCTAAAAGTGCAAATAAAGAAAGAAAGCAATATTAGAAACTTGGTTAAATCTATCACCTATTTGAAGTCATTTGAAGGTAACGCCTTCCAATAAACATTAAGCTCCTTTTCATCTCTTTCCCCCAGTCGTTTCAGTTGCTTTATTTTGCCCCCTCTCCAGCTTTGGTATGTCACTACCATCTTCTCTTATCCTACTAACCTATCTGGGTATCCCACTTTTATCAGCCAAGCAGTTTGTAACAGAAAGACACACAGAAACATGCTACCCAAATGCAGGCTGTTATTCAAAGGAGCCATCTGAGACCCACCCCTGTCACTGAAAGTGATACAGGCTGAGATTAACACACATGGCCATCCTGTGCTTGCAGCTGAGGTGGCCGTGGAGTGCATTATGTGCTGGGTTGTTATGGTTTAGCAGTGACCTGGGACTTGCAAAAGACAGTGCTGGGAACTGAGATTAGGAGGTAAGAAGGAGATTTACCTTTGCTGAACTTACTGCTGATGTCAGCAGTTTGAAGATCCTCTCTTGAGATGCCTAGCAGATTGGAAGGTGCTGGGAGGAGGGTGCTTCCCCACACATCTATGTTTGTAATGAGTGAGTTGCTGGGGAGCCGCCATGGCACTCCTTAGTCACTGATCCCCAGGCGATTTCAGGGGCCACGTCAGCCAAACCAAATACGATGCAACCGGAGCTGCTTCAGAATCAAAGCACAAGCCCTTGTTGGCTGTTTTCTTCCTTGCTGAACAAAGAACTATACACTTCTTCAGGATCTACCCAGAACCAGGTGTTTATCGAGGAGCATCAGATATCCTGGGAACAGGTTTACACCCAGCTCCTGTTCATGAAGGGGAAGCTATCAAGCAGACTCCCTGTCATCTGAAAAAGTTGGTCAGCTTTATGAGATCTATCTTTATTTTTGCTTGGATGGAGATGCAGTGCCAACATCAACTCTACATTAGAATTGAAAAAGAGTCCTGCAGCTCTTTAAAGATGAACAGCTTTATTATGCTGCAAGATTTCTGAGATTATAACAGAATAAAGGGCAACATCGCTAAGGTGCCCATGACTCTTCTTTGTGTTTGGGGTAACAGACTATCAGGCCTCCCCTCAATGACTAATTTTAAAGTGGGTCTCTTCTGTGTTCTGTTTTCCCACTAACAACATTCTCATCTGGTACTTATAACCTAAAAGAGGCACATAGGGAGGACAGGTGTCCTACTTTATAGAGGACAATCCTGTACTGAAAGGTGTCCTCTATTGGAAGGGTGGTTCATTCCACAGTCTGTTTAAAGACAGGGAACCAAAAAGAGGGAAGGAACGCAAAGGCCTCAAAGATGCCCATCAACAGTGAGCATCTGGACAGCAGGTGTGTAGGCAGGTGCACAGGTCACCTGTGCACAATCTGTGGTCAAATGTGATGCGTTTCAATGAAATCACAATAACAACACTTTTATATTTACATCTATACATATAAATCATAATATGCATATGTTATAATCTGTGTGCTCTTGTTCTCTTGTGGCAATGCCTAAGTGATCTCCTAGAGGCTCAGTGGTTATTTGTAGTGCCATGTATGAAAAGGGCCAAGTGGTTGCGGTTTGCATCTCATGACAACGGGATAAACCAGGTTGTTTAGCCAATGAGTTGATCAGCTGTCCACTTAAACAACATTGTGTGTTTTTGTACTGCTGAAGATATGCAGTTAAATCAAATGGACAATGAAGGCATCTAAGTCACTCCTCTGAGGTTGGTTTTTATGATATCGGGACAACAGCCCATGTAAGTGATGCCGTAATGTCTGCCCCGTGCCTCTAGTTTCCTTTACTGTGGGAGGAATTCTACCCCTTTTTTAAAATACGGAGCGAACTTAATGCCATTCCTTTGGAAACGGGATCCAGACAAGAAGATTCTAGAATGGACCGGAGTACAAAAATCTACTCTAAGTGGGAAAGATGGCAATTTTGCAAATCAGCGAATAGGCCTGATGATATAAAAGGTATGCAAAGCCAAACCCACTTTCCTTGATGGGGGATAACCTTTTCAAGCAAATTTCTGGTGGAAAGGTTGCCCCTCCTCTCCAAACAATTGGAAAATATAAAATTAATTTTTGAAAATATTTTCCATGTACAGATAAAATAATTTAATGTATAACAGGGACAGTCTCAGGTATAATAATCATGTGTATTAATCTGACTGTATAAACTCAATTTTAGCTATACCCATCTGTCTATATGCTATGAGCCCTGGTTAGTCAATTTGTTCTGCTTTAATAAATACAGCTATATTTCTGGGGATAAGGATTCCCAAATAAATAATGAAATCCAGGCATCACTGTAATTGCTAGTACGCTAATGTATAATGTGATATATTATCTCCAATCAGCATCAATTCAGACTTTGACCATTAATTGACTAGCCAGACAGTTCACCAAAGGTATTGATCAGTTGATCAAAACTAGAGTAGATAACTATAAATAAATAAATAGTGAGAGGTTATCCATATAAAATTTATTTTAATTTCTAAACTTTGTACAAAGCCTTGAATGTTACTGTTCTACCAAGTAGCACACACCAAGGTTTCCTAATATTGCTGTATTAGAGTGAAGCCCTGAGAGATCCAGTTTCTAGTCCCCGCTCAGCCATGGAGCCAACTGGGTAACTTTGGGCCAGTCACTCACTTTCAGTCCAACCCACCTCACAGGGTGTTGTTGTGGCGAGAAAAGGGAGCTATGCAAGTTGTACTGGTTCTTCAAAAGGGGGCAAGATGATGTAAATGCAACATAGTCATTGTCATCGTTGTCGTCATCATCATCAAATATCAGTGGAGAAAGGTGCTATCTGGTATCCCCCCCCCCCAAGAAAAAAGCTGAGAAAGCATTAATCATAGTCCTAGTCTTAGCAGGTAAATATAAAACGTTAACTCATTTCAAAAACTGATCAGTAAAGCTGAAATTACTGAATGTAGAAAAAATGATTTGCCAATGAATTTGCTGTATGCCTTTTCAGCATCCAAAGAGACAATGGGCTGTTATATCTGAGTTTAAAGCTATTAAATCAATAATGAAACGAAGATTATCAGCTGCTTGTGTTTAATAAATGTATTTAATAAATAAATCTGCTTGACCCAGTGTTGTAATAACTTGTTCCAATGTATTGGCCAAAACTCAAAACTGCAATTAATATTTTAATAGCTACATTAATCAAGGAAATAGGTTGGAAGCACAATAAATGTGGTCCTTGCCAACTTTAGGAATCACTGTAATATAAGCATCATTCAATAAAGAAAGAGGGCCTGATTCAAAAATATTGCTTCTTTAGTATAGAGGCGATAAAGTTTTGGAACTAAGAGGCTAGAAAATATTTTATTCCACTCGATTGGAAAAATTGGGAACTGCTGATTTCCCATCACTCAGTGCTTCCATAATTTCCTCCATATGCAAAGGACCTTTGAGAAACTGCTACTGTGAGGAATTGATGAACTGAAGATTAACATGAGAGAAAGAGCATGTATCTATATCATGGTTTGATGTTTTGCTACCCCTGATATGCCAGACACAATGTACCAAAAAACCTACTGGAATGCTCACATTTCCTCAATATGCCTTTGTCAATACATTGCCCAGCTAGAATCATGAAGATCATCAATTTCAATTATCACTGTTGAAGTAACAGAGAGAGATGCATGGATCAAAGTGAAAGCCCTTTAAATCATATTGATGTATCAGCCACACAGATCTCCCTAGAACACTATTTTCCCAGCCAACTTGCATCTACCTTCATCAAATGGATTTCTTGTAAATACACACACACACACACACAGAGAGAGAGAGAGAGAGAGAGAGAGAGAGAGGGGCATACATCAGCATTTACTCTATTAATTCAAAGGTTTGTTTAAATTCTGCAGCCCCTTGTCATTCTATGATATCACACTGAACACAGAAAAAAGAAAATATATTTCTTATCTCTCCTCACATATAATTCTTATCAATTGTATAACCATTACTTACTATTAGATGTTACAATATATAAATCCTTAATGTGATGCATTTAAATTCCAATATTGAATAAATCAAACATATAAAGAAGATTTTAAAATAACATTGGCAATAAAAACCACAAAATTAAATATCAAATAACTCAAATAGTGGCAATGCCCTCTCTGCTACAAAGGTCTCCAAAATATGTGGAATAATAAAACCAACCAGTCAAAATGAAAATAAAAGATAAAGAAAACCCCTTTGCCTTCAGGTTAAGACACTGGCACAATCATTGCCAGCCTGTACCTGCCCAGTTATTAGGTATGCAAACAACTCAAAGAGAAAATGTGTCCTTTTCTCTGTGTATTTATTTATTTCAGGTATTTTAAAAGGTATTTGTATCAGTATGTGAAGCTCTATTTGGTACATTAATATCAAGAGAGAAAAGTTATAGTGGGAACACACACACACACACACACACACACAGTCAAGCTGTACAGTAACAATAAATCATAATACATGGCCAAATGCCCAGAGCTTTATCTACTGAAAACATAAACATGTGCAGAGTAGAAAGAATTGGCCAAAGGCCAATTAAACTTAAATAGCATGAGCAGCAGATGAAGAGAGCTGGCCATGATCTTAACATTGTAAGAAAATGACTCTGACACCTCAAAGGATTGAAACTTCTTTAATCTTGATAGGTAATACAGAAAGTGGCCAGCTATCTAAGGCAATATTACAATCCAAGTTCCCCTGCGTAGATTCTGGCTTTCATCAATAACCTTCTTGTATCCAATTTCCTGGGTTTTATCACTACTAGGGCCCCATTAAAGCTGCCTCCTCTGTCTGGCTCTAGGGAGCAAATATGAATCCCATGGAAACTGAAGGCTAACTTGGCTGGACTCGGGTGCAGAACCAGGGATGTGATAAGCACTTTCAGCATCAAACTGAAAATCTGGTAGCAATGCCAGTAACTCATACAGAAATCTCTGCTAAGCAGACCTCTGTAGGCAGTTCCTGAAGTCCAAGGACATGCAAACTAGCTCTCTGAGAAAAAAAGTCCAAAATAGAAAGGCACACTTATTAAACTATGTAGTGCAGCTACTGTTGTTTCATGAAAGGTAATTTGGGCCTCCAAAATTTATTTTTGAATCCTTCAGTTTAATTTGAGAATCAGTGAAACTGACAGATTCCTGGAGAGTTTTAATAGACTCTGGCAATAGCCCAAACTGTTTAGACCCTTGTGTTGACATATTTTTCAGCAGAGCAAGTACATGTTCTCCCCTTGTTCCATTTTTGGAACTTTAATTAGTGGAGGTTTATGGGGAATTTGTGGCAGTTCCACTCCAAGTTAGCATGGTCATGATCTGATTTGTGTATGGATGGTTTTGATGTGACGAACTGTGGAAGAAAGTTATTTATAAATTGAAAGTAATATGGCCACAGAAGACAAACATTTGCTAGTGAGAGGAATATGTATAAAATGGCTCAAATCCCAAATCTAGCATTATTCAGCCAATGCTGAGCATTATTAAGCCTACAATTTAAGTTCCATTGAGCTAAGTGGAACATATTATTAAATGGGCAGAATTGGGCTGTAAAACTGCAATCTAGGACTCACCCAAGAGTTAGTCTGAGTGAACATGATGGGGATGAAGACATATAGTGTAGTATAGACATAGAAAGAATAAACTGTATGATTAAATTATGTCAGATAAGATTAGCTGTATCACTTATTCACAGATACCTATTGAATTTTGCTCATGTTGCATGACCATCCAGTTCTTTTGACACTTTCTGAGTGTTTGTGGGGATATTTCAGTAAGTCCTAAGTAGGGTTGAAAAATCAATAAGTTTAAATTAAACAATATGAATGTGTAGGAATATCTGAGGACTCTTGACTCTTGTTTTTGGGTTCCCTGTGAATCTTCTAGCATGCAGTGGCCAAAATCTTCCTATGGCTGTGCTCTTTTACTCCAGGGTAACACATACAGTGCCTCTTTGCATATCTCCATGCTTATAGGCCCTATAGAAGGCTGAATATAAATACAATAGAAATACATACATGCATATATACATATACATCTACACAGTTTAAGTATTTGTAGTGCTGTCTCAGAGCTCTGCAATTGTGCAAGTGCCTAGGGCCAGCAGAGACTTTAATCCAGTGCTGGTCCAAAGCATACTGAACTGGATGCATGTTTCATTGAAATCAGACAGATGCACTTGTATTGAAATGAGTTTGGGACTCAGATGCCAGAAAATCAATGACAAATCTCATTGGGTAAAACTCACTGGAAGGTTTGACAGTCTTCTATTTTTTTGAAAAAATCTTTACAGATTAGACTTATTTAACTGTGATTGCCACACTTGTAGATCTACAAGACAAATTACACTTTGAATGAAGACAATAAGGAGAACAAGGATAATTCATCTGAAAGGGGAAGAGCTGCTGTCATTTTTTCTTTGAAAAATGAAATTGGTGGACTTGTCAAAGCACTAAAACTCTTTCAGGTAAGTCATCTCTATTAAGTATAGCAGGCATAATAAAGCCAGTAAAGGTGATAATTTTGGAAAAGCATAATGCATGTTCTTATTGTACTAAGAAATTGGTTTGGATTGCATTTTCCCAAAGAAAAATGCATTAAAATTATATATATTCAGCAATAATAATCACATCAATGGTGAAGGGACTACTTTATTAAAGAGAAAACAGGTTTGTAGTGATGTGGCTGCAAAAAAAGGTAACTGCTGGTTTTGGCTGCATTAATAGAAGTGTCACTTCCAAATCACATGAAGTACTTGTTCCCCTCTAACCACACTGGTTAGCCCTCATCTTGAGTACTGCATCCAGTTCTGAGAACTGCAGTTTAAGGAAAATGCAGAAAAACTGGAAAAGATTCAGAGAAGGGCAGCAAATTTGTTCCGGGGACTGGAAACAAAGGTCTATGAGGAGAGACTGCAAGAATGGGACATTTTTAGCCTTGAGAAGACTGAGAGGAGATAAGATAGCGCTCTACAAGTCCTGGAAAGGTTGCCACAAAGAGGAAGGCCAGGATCTCTTCTTAACCATATCGGATTGCAGGACAGAATAATGGACTTAATGGACATGATGCCAGAGTCTGGCTGAATATCAGGGAAAACATCCTGATTGTTAGAGCAATATGATAATAAGACAGTACAGATTAATAGTGGCAGCAAGAAGAAATTACATAGCAAGGTTATAATGCTAATGCACTTTCCAGGGGTGCAAATCCCCCATAGCAGTGACGGCAGTTCCAGGACTGGCCTGGCTGTTCCCTGCTCTTTCATGACTGGCCTGAGAATCTGCGTCTTGGTTGGGTCCCAAGGAATCATATACTATGCCACTGATTCCGCCCCATTCTGGACAATCTTTAATGGCTTTAAGAGTGTCCTACAAACTGGGAAATACTAGTCTTAAGCACAGACACACATTCAGTCTGCTGAAAAGGTAATTCTCATCTCGGCTACCCTGGCTGAAAGCAGGCCCCCCTGCCTGATAGTGTAGAGAGGGCCCCCAGTGCTCTCAAGTGAGTCTCTAAGACAGAGTCTTCAGATTTGGAGGATGGGTGCAGATGGCTCTGTAGTTTCAAGATTACCAAGTAGAGATACTCAGACAGAGCCTGAGAACCAGCCTCCCTTGGAAAAGGAGGAAGACAATTCAGAACAGGGAGGGACAGAGACTGGGGGTGGGGAGGTCCCTCACCCCATAAGGAGACAATAGTCCAAGTGAGTGGGCCAGTTGTGTGGTGTCTGAAGCCCCTGCCATCTAGCCCTCAAGCAGAGGAAGCCACCCTGAGGGAAGAGATGTTCCAGTTTGGATAGACACTACTCCCTCATCTCAAAGTGGTCGTTACTTTGAATTATACTGTTTGAAACCTGCAGAACTCAAATGAAAGACTCTGCTTCATCTAAGGTTGCTGGAGAGGGAAAAAAGGGGAAAGATGTGCTCCTGACAGCAGCCTTAACCTTGTGTAAATTGCCCAGAGAACTTCAGCTGTGAGGCAGTAAAATTATTATTATTAAATAATAGTAATAGTAATAATTAATGGCCTACAGATGGTGCCAAAGGCTTATCTACCAGCCTCAAGCTGTTCAGCACCCACAGAATTAACTCTTGGAGCTAACATAGCTATATAACCCAATAAATGGGCCCAAACAGAACTCCAGGTGTGAGCACCACTAATTTCTTGAGGTAGGAATGGACTTCCAAGTTTCCACCACAGATTCCAACTGGAGACAGTATCTACTGCAGTCTGTTTGCCACAGGACACAAAATATGTTTGACAAAATAGATTTAAAAAAAAGAGTTGAATAGCACAAACTTTGGTTCTCAGATGCTGTTGACCATCTAACCAAAATGATCTTATCCATCAGGACAAACACGTCAACCTGGTGCATATAGAATCTCGAAAATCCAGAAGACGGAATTCAGAGTTTGAGATCTTTGTAGACTGTGACAGCAACAGGGAACAGCTAGATGAGATCTTCCACCTCTTGAAATCTCATGTCAGCGTTGTAGCTGTGAACCCAGCAGACAATTTCATTGTACAGGAAGATGGTAAGGAGGAAAAAAGGAGTGTGATTCCTTAGAAATCAGTGCTGATTGTGCTTGATTTTAGAGACAATGTTGTGTTTTATTTAATTTTCTCCCCTTTGGACAAACTTCTATTTCTTCTCCTCTAGAAAGAACATTCTTAGAACTCCCCCCGCCCCATATACTTTTTATTAAAAAAGTATTGGGAGTTCAGGAAAGATTTCCTTCCATTTGTTTCCCCAACTGTAGAAAGATATATGGAATAAGCCGAGGGACTCCTCTTCTTGGTATATCTACTTCCCTTTTCTGGGACCTCTAGTCATTCAGTCCCACTTCTAGACCATGCATCTTAGGTTTGTTCTTTACATATTTCCTGAGAACATTTTTCTCTCTGCCCTCTAGGACCTTTTCCTAGTCTTCTCAAACTTTTGAGCTGTTACAGTCCCATGAGTATTTTAAGTACATTATATTTGTGTGAAACATTTGATTGCATTCTTAGGGTATTTGGCACACATGCTCTTGAGAAGTTTTATTTAAAATTGGTATTAAAGGGTTCCCTTTATGAACTAGTTGCTTCTTTGCATGGCACTATAGCACTTCCCTCCTTCACTTAGAAGCACAGATAGCATCTATGGGACTAAGAGCTGAACCAAAGCCATTTTAATTTAATGAAAAGATATAATAGTGCTATATTGTTTCCACCAAGTTTAATATAGCCAGTGACCATATAAATAAAGACTGGCTATTTTTAATTAACTGCCCAGTGTTGTGCTTAAGTCAGACATAGTTCTTCTGCCATTAAGTCTCGAATGGCTAAATTTAATTTGTGCAGTAGCTGGCTATGCAAACATTTTCCATTTTATAAGCAGCTTAAGATTTATGTGAATTTTCTTCATTCCCCAGATATGGAAAACATCCCGTGGTTTCCTAAGAAAGTCTCTGATCTGGATAAATGTGCAAACCGTGTTCTGATGTATGGATCTGACCTAGATGCAGACCATCCCGTGAGTAGATTTGCACTGGCATTTGCCTCCCAATAGTTTTGAAGAGCTGCATGAGGCATTCACTTATGGAAATCTAACTTTGAATCTCTTATACTTTAGATCTGTGGTCAAAGTTTACTATGCATTAGAATAGAACAGAACAGAACAGAACTAGAGTTGGAGGGGGCCTATAAGGCCACTGAGTCCAGCTCCCTGCTCTGCTTCCACGCGTGGTCACCCATCCAGCTGCAGGCCTGCGCCCTTCCAGCTTAGCAGAGGTGACTTGCCATGCTAGCTCAATGGATCGCTATGTATAATATTCATATAATATGTACAACTAGAATGACCAACATAATACTGGAGTCTTAGAGAGTGCTCCATGAAAGGCCAAAGGCATCCCCTTGTGCAAATAACTCCGGTGGCTTTGGCTTCGGTTTTATTCAAATGGGCAAGGGCAAGTCCTAAGGAATATTCACTTGAAGGTCATCTGGCAAGCCTCAAGTCTGGGAGGGGAAGACCCTGAACGCTGGGGCCACGATTGGCTCTCTTTCTCCAGCACAGTTTAACCTACCCCACAGGTGGGTGATGTGTGGCCCTCCAGAAGTCTTGGCATATAACTCCCCTTGAGTCTTCACCATTGGCAATTCTGGCTAGGGCTGATGGGAGCTATAGGCCAAAACACAAATTCCCCCACTCCTGGCCTATATAACCCAAATCTTGAGCAGAATGCAGTCGCAGAAAGGGGAGTCATTTACTCCATGGAAGTAGGTGGTCTGGAGGATTAAAAGGCATGAGCCAGGAGTCCTGTCTCATTGCCTTGCTCTTGCATAGTTCTCATTTATCCATTTTATGCAGAGGGATTTGAAATCTGTACTGCTGAACTGTCGGTTCCTGCTTTGATTAGTGGAGTGTGCTTAAGTAATGTCACTCTAAAATGTTCAGCAAATCCCTGTTGTATGTATCCGGTGCAGAGGTAGGAACCTCTTTCAGTCCGAGGTCAAATTCAATTTCAGAGAGACCTTCAGAGCCAACATTCCAGTAGTGAGCTGAGTCGAATGAAAAGATGTGGCACTGAAGACAAAAGGAGTGGGGCAAAATACAAAATACATGCTCTTCTACCCAAGATTTTTCTTGATAGAACTATTATTCCACCACCCCCGTCACACACATATTGGTGAAAGCTTACGAGTAATCACAAAAACTGACCGAGGATTTTTTTTTTTTAATTCCATTATTAGGGTTTCAAAGACAATGTTTATCGAAAGAGACGGAAGTACTTTGCAGACCTTGCTATGAATTACAGACAGTAAGTTTCACTGCTTGCTAAATGCTCTTTTCTTTGATTTTCAAATATCCAGGCTGAGAAGGCTCCTTTTGGCCCCACAAAATCCAAGTCAGGTTTTAGTACAATAAATCAGGTTGTCTACCCAAATCATTTACCAGATCAAGCAGAAGCAATTTTCACCACCCCTCTTGACAGGTTGCTTAGACTTGCAGTGCAGGTGACTATTCAGACAGACTGAGATGCTTCTCTTCTTCTATGAACCCATTAAATCCACCTTCAAGCCCCATTTTCCACCGACTGCACCAGATTGACAAGCAATTGCTAATGCTGAGCCATCAGAAAATGTTTTTTCTTTTTCATTTCTGAAACTTATTCATGAAAGTCAAGCCTTCATTTGGTTTCTCATTATAGTGGTGAACCAATTCCCAAAGTGGAATTCACTGAGGAGGAGATCAGAACTTGGGGCACGGTATTCCGAGAGCTCAGTAAGCTCTACCCAAGCCATGCTTGCAGAGAATATCTTAAAAACCTACCATTGTTGTCCAAATATTGTGGCTACCGTGAAGACAACATACCGCAGCTGGAGGATGTGTCGCGGTTTCTGAAAGGTAATTGGCGGATATTTATTTGTTCAGATGGTTTTGCTGGGGCTGGGAGGCTGTTATGGCCAAGGCAGGGAAGCCTTTTTCTGACAAGGAGAAACAATTCCTCCAGAGCTAACCTGTGAGGTGGTGAGTGAGCCTGGAATGAGCAGAGGGTGGGACCACCCTCTTTTCTGTCTTTCTGCCACCCGTTTTTCTCTCTCCTTCCCTGCCCACTGCTTTGCTTCAGAAAGGCAGATTTTTCTTCCTGGAAGTTGGAACTGGTTGGTTACAGAGGGTTGCATGTACCCTGGAGCTACAGGTTGCTTGCCTCCGTGTTAGATTGTGGCTCTGAAGAGCAAGAGGCTGGGGACAGACCTACATATATATGAACCGCTGGGAGCTGGACATCTTCTGAGGGGAGTTGGCAGGATGTTCATCTTCTCTTCTGATCATCTGACAATAAAATAAATCCACAGTCCTTAGCCTCATGGAAGTTGCCTGAGGCTAACTTGAAAGATTACCGTTGCTCATTATGGAAATAACATTCAAATTGTTCAAGATCCTTTCACATTTCTTATCTCAATCAGCATGGCTTGTTTAAAACAGCAGCACATGCCAGATGTCATTAGATTAATTAGTTGCCTGGGCATGACTTACTGTATTGTCTGAACCATGGTGGCATGGCTCATTTGAGGTGGAAACAACTCTAAAATAGCCCATGGCCTGTTGCTGAGTTATTTGAGAGTCATTTCATCTTCGACAAGCCATGCCACCTGGGTTCAGACAGCACAAACAGCCATGCTTGTTTTTGTAAGCTGTCCTGAGATGTTTGTAGTAGATGGGTTAGAAAAGCTTTCAATCAATCAATCAATCAATCAATCAATCATCTGTATGCATAATTAAACTAGTGTTGTCTGGCATGTGCCATTAATTTAAATATGTAACTATGGCTTAAATATGTAAGCCATGGAAGCTTGTTTGTATGAACTAGTGCCTTGTCTTTTTAAGAGTCCAATTGTATTTCATGTTCCAGTGTATGCTCAGAGTGGTGTGTGACAAAATAGGTGGAGCCATGAAATGAAAAATAAGTGGAAACAAACACAAAAAGGTCATTAAAATGGAAACAGCAAAGCAATTTCACAGCAAGATGGAAATACAAGTCACAACCAGATCACAATATTATTAACTGAGAACCTTTGTTGGTGGATTAGAAATGTAATAAATAAAATTATTCAGAACCAATACTTCTCACTGTTAAGACCAATATAATAGAACCTCCAAGCAGGGAATTACGAGCATATAACAAATGACTCTTGCAGAATAACTCAGAGTCTTCATTTTCACTCCACCCCTGTATACACATTACTTCCCATCACTGACTTCTTGCTCAGCTGATAATAAAACCATCTAACATAGTCTTAAACAACCTACTATTCTCCAGATGTTTTGGATTACAAGTCTCATCAGCCCCAGCTAACATGGACAATGGTCAAGAATGCTGGGAGTTGTAGTCCAGAACAACTGGAATGCACCAGATTCTGGAAAGTGATTGAATATCTAGCTGTTCTTGTCTCTTGTGTAATCTCTTCCTATATACACTTGTTCAAACAAATTCCACTGAATTTGCCTGGCCTTTCTGCTAAACAAGCTTGCATAGGACGTCAGTCTTTGTGTCACCTCCATTATGAAACTCTTCAGTCAGAGCATTTTGTCATATGAGAAGAAACTGCATCATGGTTACATCTTGGCTTTGCAGAACGCACTGGATTTACTATCCGCCCTGTTGCTGGATACCTGTCACCCAGAGACTTCTTGGCGGGCTTAGCATTCAGAGTATTCCACTGCACCCAATATGTTAGGCACAGTTCGGACCCGCTTTACACACCTGAACCGTAAGCAAATTTCTTTTTTTAAACCTCATGACAAATAAAGTATGCTGGCTGATTCCAAATAAAGCACCTCAGGGTTAGCCAAACTGAGGCTCGGGAGCCATATGCAGCAATGTGAGTTTATTTTGGGGCTTGCTGCTTCGTGCTGAGGGCACCCGTGGGTGCCCGCTTGCTGCTTGCCACCTCCATTGCCACTGCTGCAGGCACCCACTTACCACTCACCACTTGTGGGTGCCTGCTCACAGCTCCCAGACACCTGACATTTACCTATGTGACTCTACTGTTGCGCACATCTGCCCCCACCCCCCGCTCTATCTGAAACCTGATTTCTAAAGGTGGGCTTTATAATCACATGACAAGCCTAGATGGAGCAGTGTCTTCACATCCAAAGATGCAACTCACATTTATGCTGCTCTCATGAGTTGCTGGTGGGCAGCAGAGAAGGGAGTTGTGTGCTTAGTACTTTTTCTTTTGGAGGATTTTCACAAATATTTAACACCAGCCTAGCCCACATGATGCTGACTGCTTGCACTTAACTTATGTCTGGGGAAAAAATGATATGGAATTTTCTCCTGAGATCTTTTATCAGAATTTAAGAGGCATGCTCTGAGTATTAATGTATGACAATTTGAGCTGAAGTGTCTTGAATGTTCCATTAAATTAAATGAAGTATTTCCAGCTATCTACTGAAGCAAATGAATCAAATGATTATTGGATTAATTTCATTCCTATGCTGCTCAATAACTGGAGCTCTATGGGTGGTTCACAAGAGTTCACCACTATATTCTTGTGCATTTTCCTTGTCTCCGGGGCATGAGCCAAATTTGTCCAATTGATGCTCCTATGTTGGAGGGGCAGGTTCTGTAGTACACATTTATAAATTTCCCAAAAGGAGGAAATGCATTATTAAAAAAGGGACAAAAAAGGCAAATAGGACAGTGATTTAGATATATTAATTTGCATGCAGAAATGCAAATTTTGAAATAGTAATGCAACATTTAAATAGAAATACAATACATCTCACCATAGTGTGAAAGACTGAATGGGTGACAAGGTTACCTGCTATTTAATTGCTGTTGATGGGGTTAATTGCTGTTCTTAGAGTTTATTAACTTTAAAGTAGAATTGGACATAGCACCCTTAGAAACAGAGGTCACTTTCATATAAAAGACAGTCCTCTGGCAGTCCTTTGGTGTAGTGGTTAAGAGCAAGGGCTGGGACTCAGACGATCTGGGTTCTAGTCCCCGCTCAGCCATGGAGCCAACTGGGTGACTTTGGGCCAGTCTCAGACTCTCAGCCCAACCTACCTCACAGGGTTGTTGTTGTGGGGATAAGATGGAGGAGATGTAAGCTGCTTTGAGCCCTTCGTAGGAAAAAGGCAGGATATAAAAAATTGAAAAAAAATCAGAAAAAAAAATAAAGGGTGATCCTCTGAAAAAGAGGAAACTTGGCCACCCTACCACGATGTATATCCCTCTTCACTGTGCACATTCATTCCTTCCGTGTGCCATATGGATTACTCAGGCAGAGACCTGAGCGGTGTGCTTTCTTCTGTTGAGGGGGGATAATAATTTAAACTGGACCCATGGCTCTCTATGTGGAGCATCCATGTAACTTTATGTCTATGTGGTACTATTTTTACAACAGGAAAGATTGGTAGTCTAGCTAAGCATGTGAACACACCCTGGGTAAAGCTGCTTCATGCTTTCCCCAATTTGCACCCTCATATTTACATCTGCCTACCAAATTCCTAATCTACACCTTGAATTTGACAAATTGGTACGTAGCTTATGCAATCTAATTGTTATTGTTGTTAGTCGCGAAGTCATGTCCAACCCACCGCGACCCCATGGACAACATTCCTCCAGGCCCTCCTGTCCTCCACCATCCCCTGGAGTCCACTCAAGCTCACACCAACTGCTTTAGTGACTCCATCTAGCCACCTCATTCTCTGCCGTCCCCTTCTTCTTTTGCCATCTAATAACTGTTGGTTTTAACAACGTGTTCCTCCAGAATTCTTGGAGCAATTTGTCATCTGCATGTTTAATAATACTTTCATATTGTTGCACTTACCGCCTAATTAGATTAGGTAGGAGTGTGAATCATGTATGCGGCATCTGCAAGAGGTGGGCTGCTTGGTTCATCACTTGTTTGTCTTCCCTGCTTTCCAGTGACACCTGCCATGAGCTTTTAGGCCATGTCCCTCTTCTGGCGGAGCCCAGTTTTGCTCAGTTCTCCCAGGAAATTGGCTTGGCCTCCCTCGGAGCATCCGATGAAGCTGTTCAAAAGCTGGCAACTGTAAGCAGAAGATACTGCTCAGTGAAATACGTTCTTCAATTTCAGTAATATTACAGTACTGCTGTCTTGTGTATTTCTGGTATTAAGTCCTGATATTAAAAAGTAGTGAATCAGAGTTTGGCTATATATGTAAATAGCAGACATGCACATTATCCTGAAATCCAGCGAAATTAAGACATTTAAAGTACCACTGATTTCAATGTGCTGTTGCACTAATACCAGCAGAATTAAAAGGGTTTAATGAGGCTGTCATAATCTAATAATGCTACCTTTTCCACACACAAGCAGGATCAAATGTAACAAAATGGCCCCTTCCAGTGAGCTGATGGAATAGGGAGGGCTAGCCAAAACTTGCATGATGCCGTGCTCCCCCAATCCAAAGAATTGGCCCTCCTTCCCTGCTGCCCAGCTTCAGGAAAGCTTGATTGCAGTGGGGAAGGGCTGATTTGAGCATGAGAGTGAATGGGGTCTGGGAAATCCCACTGGGACTGCAGGCCAGCACTGGGTGGCTTCCCAGAATATGGGCCCGCAGCTGTCAATATCCTTGCCCAGAACCAATTTGGACCTGAAGGTGAAAAAGATTCCCTGTGCATGAAGTGGGTTATTACAGTCTAGAAAACCCAGTCACCTTCCTCACACACCTCTGACCCACCATCCTTTCCCTCATGCCTGAGGTAGGGTATCTGTTTGTATTCTGAAAAATTCTGAAGGCATCTTTCATTCCTCGGTCATATAAGGGACTTCGGCCTTTAAACTGGGAACTGGGAATTTGGAGGTGTTTCTGAATCTAGGGTGGGGTTTTAAAATTATGTTTTGTGGGTGATGGATCAAGTCAATGGTGGGGCTGTAACTTGCCTTTAGAAGGAAATTACCCCCATCTCAATCGGAAGGGGAAATGGCCCTTGTGCTTTCATTTTTCAGGCAGCTTAGTTCCTAAACCATTGAGACTTGAGCTTTTAAGCTATTTTGCATCCAGGCAAGGGAGCATGAAAACGCACGTTGCTGAGTTTCTGCATCTCTGTTGAAGGTCACAGTTTCCCTTTGTTTCTTCCATTGTCTTCTTTCCTAGTGCTACTTTTTCACTGTGGAGTTTGGCTTATGTAAACAGGAAGGCCGGCTGAGAGCCTATGGAGCTGGCTTGCTCTCTTCTATCAGTGAACTAAAGGTAAGCCCTAAAGCATCTTCAAACTGTAATCAGTAAGTCTTGTATAATGGCTTTTAAAACATTCTACATTTGGAGAAAGCTTTTCACATCAGTCCCTCTGCCAAGGTGGCCAGATGATTGACTGGAGCTGGCCAGTTAGAATGTACCTTGTCTGTGCTAAAGAAACCATGACAACCATTCCTCTGCCTTTCAATCCGATTTCCAATGTAATTCAAGGTACCTTCCAGCCTTCTATGGTGTGGTACTGTCTGCTTCCATGTAAATCTCTTTTTTAATTTTTAAAATCTTTTGAAACTTCTGCTGTTAGTCATCTCTATAAGTGTATGCTGAAAGGTAGAAAAAAAAAATCAAGGAATTCCTGAGACTCCGCTTGTAGAGAATTATCTAGGGTACATTCCAGGCTTCTATGGTGTCCTTGGTTCACATGGGGCCTTTGTCAGGCCTGTTCAGCTGGGTGAACTGTGTGCCCTCAAACACATCCATCATTCTACCAAACTTACCTGTGCATTGCAGGGGAGATCAGTCATGGCGGGCAAGCTGTCTGTCGGGGAAGCTTGACTGCCATTGTCTGTCTTCTGCGGAAGAACACCCAATCGGTTTCCAAGGAGACTAGAGCTCCCTAACCCATAGAAGGGGGAATGTGGTCATGCCCATCACTCTGTGTGCACTTTGGCTGAAGGAATGAAAGTGCGGGCTGGTGTCTGAACTGTGCAGATGTGAACCGCACTGTTTCAACAGGTTCCCATCATGTGGACAAAACTTGCATAACCGCAGCTTGTAAGCATGTAAATTTACACCCTGATCCCTACATGTGGTTGGGGCAAAACCATTAGGTAGGAGGAGCCAAAGTTTAGCTAAGTTATATCCTGATGTTGAATTACTCGCCACCGCTGAACATTTTTCAGTGCTGGTGCCTGCAATTTGCGCAAAATCTAATCCTTGCCATTTTGCTTGTCTGGCAACCAGCATGCACTGTCTGGGAACGCCAGGGTCAAACCCTTTGATCCCAGTGTCACCTGCAAGCAAGAGTGCATGATTACAACATTCCAGGAAGTTTACTTCATTTCAGAAAGCTTTGAAGATGCAAAGGAGAAAATGAGGTAATTCGTTTTCTTTTTCTTTTAAAAAATCTTACCATTGTGTGCCTGCTTTGCCATTCCAATTCAGTTCTGGAGTTCTTGTGTGGTGGGATTAGTGTTTTTGAAACCAGAGAGAAAACAACGCTCAGTTCTAACATTTGTGCACTTCACTGTGGCTTCTCTGGTTGTCCAGATCTGGGATTGCCGTTTTACCATTACTGATATGGAAGCACCATAGAGTCCTCTGGCAAGAGCAACCATGGAAGTGGCTTCTTCTAGCCTATGCTCTCTATGGCCCTCAGAAGCCTAGCAAAAGACATATCATTGCTCACTTGATTTTATTGGCTGTGTGAGGTGTCCATTTCCCTGCTTACTTTCAGAAACAGGGATACAGTGCAGAAGGATGGAGGAAGGAGTGGGGAGTGCAGAAACTGGATTGTATTTTGAACCACAGATTGTCCAACTGACCAGTTCAGGAAATTTACATCCTGTGGAAACAGCGCAGGGTTGTTTGCTGTGCCGTGTGAACCCAGCCACTAACTGAGCAGTACAGTGTGGTGGCCAAGGCTCAGCTGTGATTATGAAAGTTTTCACTTCTCTGCATACTAAGTAGCCTTAGACAGATCAGTCTTTTTTACACTCAGCCACCCCACCACTCTCACATCTGTATTATGAGGATACAATAATATTCTCCTTTGTCAGAGGGTTGTGTAAGGATTATAGCAAGATAATGTATGTCAATTTCTCAAAAGCTCTGTTTCAGTCAGGGCTGGGCAACTTGTGGCCAAACATATTTTAGCCTACAACTCCCATCAGTTGTATTTAGCTAAGCCAATGGCAAGTGCTCATGGGAGGTGTAGGTAAAAGATACTGCAGGGAACGCATACAAATAATGATCATTAGTTAAAAGCTTTATGCAGAAGGTTGAAGCTGAGTTTCATCAGAACCCTTTTTCTTTTCCCCATCCGAACAGGGAGTTTGCAAAGACTATCAAGCGCCCCTTTGGAGTGAATTATAACCCTTATACACAAAGTGTTCAGCTCTTGAAAGACCCAAGGAGCATCGCTAATGTGGTGAATGAGCTCCGCCATGAACTGGACATTGTCAGCGATGCCCTCAACAAGATGGGCAAGCAGCTGGGAATCTAACCTATCCAATGACCATCTGCCACTCTGCACTCTGCAGCTACGACTTTTGTCCTATTTGAGGCAAGAAAACACTGTGTGTGCTTTATACAGAATGCTGCTTTTCCAGAACTAAAGCATTAATGCTAGGACATATGTTCTTATTCTGTGGTGTCCTGGAAACAGTCTTTCTCAATATGTTTATGCTATTCTTTGCTTTCATCTTCTGGTTCTTTCTCAGTGATTTGGAAGGAAAGCAGACTTAATTTACTCTAGCAAAATTGCTCTAGAATCTGCAATGAACGTTGTCCATGAATGTTGTAGTTATCAATGTAGTCCAGAAGTGTGCAAGCATTTAGCCTCTAAGGTCACATAAGGTATCCACTAGTGATGGGGCAACACATCTACAGGGAGTGCCAAAAAGTATGTACACATTTTAAGAGATGTTATCTATGTATTACTTTTCAAAGTTGAATTGAATTACGTTAGCGATGTGTAGTATGACATTCGCTCAAAAAATGGCATTAATCAAATGAATGCTAGTGTCACCATGTGACAGTTTTTAATAGTTTTTTTTCCTTTCTTAAAATGTGTATACATTTTTGACACCCTCTGTATGTGCGCAGACTTACACTCAGACACAATCCATATAGATCTGCTCTTCTTTCTCTTTCTCACATACACACGGCTTACATCCCTAAACACACATGCAATTACCAGATAAATCACCAGCTCAATTAACCACATAATTTATCACAATTTCTGCTGGAAGATGCAAGCTAATATACAGTAGCATTGGTTAATTACAAATCATTGCTACCACCACTTTTGCTACATGTTCTGCAAATAGGTTTGGAAAGTAGCAGAATAAATATCATATCTGAGACTGAATCCCTTCCCACCCAAACCACCTCAACTGAATTAAACAATCAAAAAAGAGAAAGGCAAAAAGGATCCAGCAACAGATCCAGCTATAAAGGCCTTGTTCCGAAAGCATCCTAGGAAACAGGCAGGAAATTCTGCTGCTTCCTGGAAAGTTCTGGGGATGTGCTAGCAATTAGGCTTCTGTGGCAGGAACCACAGAACCCATTCCAAATATATGTTCCCTTTCTTTTATTTTTTTAAATAAGTTTTATTATTATTATATTCTACAAACTGAAAACTAAAACATCAATCATCAAAGACATTGGACATACTGGGTCATCCCCCCATTTTTGTTTTGTAACAATCCATAGCCATATTCAAATCTACGCATAGTCCCGTTTCTCTAGCCAATAGTAAAAAGAGTTCCAAGTTTGACAGAAATATGCATCCTCTTTCTCCTTCAGAGACAAAGTCAGCCTGTCCATTTCTGTGCAGTCCAAGATTTTTTTTTTTTTTAAATCAGTTCGTCAGTAGGTGGTTCTTCACTCCTTCAGTGTTGGGCAAATACAATCCTTGCTGCAGAATCACGTGTAGAATCAAATACGTTGCTTATCGACATCATCAGACACAATGCCTAATAAAAAAAACTTCAGGTTTAAATATTAAAGGTTTTTGTAACATTTCCTCAAGCCATTTATGTATTTCAACCCACTATTTTTTTTGCCTGTTCCCTTTCTTTTAGTGGTGGCAGATACTGAGAGTCTTGGGGGACACCAGGCAGGTCTTGGATAGCTGCTTGCAGCCTATACTTGCACCCCCAATGCAGGGGGTTATTCTGTAACTAATGATGTGTAATATTAGCTGTTTCTGAAGAAGTAAAACCCTAACTGTGTATGGGATATATTTCAACAAGATATCCTATTTTACCTCCAATCCGGTTTACTGCAAGCACTACGCTATAATCCTTTACATACTTAGCTGGGGAAAAGGCCCACTGAATATAGTGGGACTTGCATCTGGATATACATGCATATACTATTTCACATATTGCATTGTCCGAAAATATGAACACATGCAGGGCAGCAGATAGCTGCTCCTGTAAGGAGCTGCAGAAGTGTTTGGCTGCCCCATTATACTGATCTGGATGCAAATATAATAGGGGAATACTGTTCACATTTGGACAGCATCTTTATACTACCATGCAATATGCATAGTGAGTGTGTATCTCTTATTGGCAAATATGTCAGTGTTTTGAACCACACACACATACATTCATCACTTGTGGAATGTAACATCTATTGATGACCTGCATGTAGGAATGAACTACTGCAGATTGATCAGCCCAGGTATAACTTCACTGTCTTTTGATGTTGCTTCAAACACTATACTGGTCCAGGGAGGTAATTCAGACATTTTGTGGAGAGCTATCAGGTGTTGCAGAATCAGGTGAAATACATGTATTTTTATTGTAATATTGTCTCTACAGAGTGGGACACCTGAAAGCCATCCTTAAGTCCTTTAAAGTTGATCTCATAGTAAATAGTGGGCTTACAAAACTGGGTCTGATTAGAAATTTGAATAACTGATATGCCTTTCACATTTAGAAACACCTTCTTTTTAGATACCAAATATATCCAAGTTTTTGTCTTAAATGACAATTTGAATTAATTTTAGGAATATGAAGCTTTAAAGAAAGAAATGAAACAAATAGAAGGTATAAATTTGATTTTCTGTGCTTCTTCAAAGAATAATACTTGTTAAAAAGAACTAGATACTATTGCAAATGTGTTTTTTATATTAGGTAATATATTCAACCTTACAGGGACTGGATTATGCTTGTAGTTAAAAAGAAATAATTATACTGTTAAATTGATGTTTGCACCTTTTAACATATTTGGAATCCACTTGGATTTACAATTGTTCTTGATGGATCCTTGATGGTTGTAACACTTAAACATTTATATTAACTGTCTAGCATGTGTATACATTCGTCATCTATGTTCGTAAATTCACAATGACTTAACTGCAGTAGAACTTGCACAACTTCAGAGTGCTTAGCCAGTGATATTTCTCCCCTTTAAGGATACTGATGCTATTTTCAAATACAGCATATGGAAAGTCAAACAAACCATGCTCTGTTTATTTGTTTGTTGAAGCTTGGCAAGCAATGGGCAAGGGATGACGATGTATTGAGAGAACAGAATAGCATCTACTGCTTTAAATGTGGTATATAGCACAGCTCACCATATCTGTGCTTCCCAAGTATTTTATTTTTCATATTTTTATGTTGCCCTTCCTTCTAGGTCATGGTATACAGAGTTTCTCTGCCCTTGTTTTAATTTCACAACTACATTGTGAGGTGGCCTAGATAGTCACCCCACAAGTGGGGTTTTAAATCCAAGAGAGACAGTCTGAAAACCACATAAGCTGTTTAGGTAGGCTTTTTCTCGTGCTTCAGTTGGGAATACTGACTTGTGGGCTCTCCCATGAATACAGATTGGAAGATGGGCTTGCAGCCGTAGACAACAATTTTTGCTTAGAGAGCAACAAAGTCAACTAAGTTCTAATGACATTATTAGATCAGAGTGTGGCTTTTGATCTAGCTGAGTAGGAAGCAGGGATGACATATTTGTGGAGGCTCTGAGGGACTGCCTCTTATTCTCAGCAGGAATTCCTTAAAAATGGCAGCAGCCACTTACTTTTTGCTAGGATCTTCCTTGTGAAGATCTCCAGAGTGAGGAGGATAGTTGTAGCTGCTCAGATTTGGCTCAGCCTCCTTTCCTGATACTCTTTCATGGAGCAGAGGGTTTCATGCTGAGACCTGCATGTGGGAGCTCCCATGAAAAGACCGAGCTGACCATTCTCCTCCCGCAAATCAGAGCAGCCTAAAAGCCAGACTAGAAGTTAGGCTAACTGAGTAGCTCAGGTGGGATGCATTATTTTTACCCTCTTGTCAGCACATATTGTCTCCATTTGGATTGGAACCACTGCACTCTAGGGGAGGTGGAATAAACCTTCTTCCCCTCTATTTCTCCCCCTGAAATTAAATGCCAGTGGAATACGAGTGGGAAATGGCACGCCACCCACACCACCCTTGGCTGCCTTCACCGTCACATCTCACAACCTCTCCCTCCCCTGCCACGTGGCTTCCACCGCCTGGTGTGCACTCTGAGAGTGACTCCTCTCTCTCTGCTGCCTGCAGCCTTCACCAGGGTCGTCTTTAACTCCCCCCTCCCCGCCATGCACACACGAGAACTTTTGGAAAAGCAGTGCTGGCTGGGAAAGCAACAGGCAGAGGTGTCCTTCTTCAGAACCAGGCATTGCGGGAGGATATCCTTGGAGACTGCCCGGAGGAGAGGGTGGATGGAGGCAGGCACCCTCCGGTGGGTTGCCCAGTGTGGCACAGTGCAGGGTGGGTGGGGGCCGGCACACGCAGCAGGCCGGAAGCGGGGAGAAGCTGCGGGAAGCAGAGGCGGTGCAAGGGAGGGAGAGATGTCGCAGCAGTGGGTGCGCAGGGTGGGAAATGACGGGCAGCACCACAGCTGTATCCACTCCTGCCTCAGGCAGCAGGAAAGTTTGCCACAGTGCTGCAAAAATGTTTCCGGTGGAGTCAATGGCAGCTTTTTCTTTTTCAATTTCCTCTCCAGGAGGGTAGGAAGTGGATTATTAGGATTAACTGGTTTAAGTGGACCAAAAAGTCCTATTTAGGAATATTGGTGTGGGTAATTAATTCCAAAACAAACAAACAAATAAATGCAATGCCAGGGACATAGAGGCCTGCATTAGTAAGCTTTTTGTACGTATCTTTTACAATTACATTTGTATCCCACCTTTCTGTGGTGGTTCCTAATTTGTGGAACTCCCACTCCAGGAATGTACGGTTGGCCCTGTCAGTTCTTCAGAAAGGGTTTGAAGATCTATTTTAAGCTGCTTGCTAGCTTTTAGACTGCAAGGGTTTTCTCTTTTTTTGCATTATTTGAGCTACTTTAAAAAAATGTTTGTTGGCTTCAGATATGATTAATGGTTTTGCCTCGAATTCTGATGTTTGTACCTGTTTACATTATTGGAATTACAATTTTGTGGTGTAAGTACATTTTGTAAGCTATTGTAAGAGTAATCTGTCCTAAAAAGTTGCCTAAAATATAATAAATAATTGAAATATTTCCATGCAATTCAAGATGGTGTACATAAGGTTCTGCAGCAAATCAAGGACTGTGTGTTTAGCTTGAGGAAGGCTGCTGTTATCATGTGCCTTCAGACAAATAACATTGGATGCCTCCAGCATCTTTTGCTCTGCAAAATTCACTCTTCCGTATTTATGTAGCTATTAATTAGTACACTTTTATAACCACAATGCACCTCTCTTTTCATTACACCATAACAAGACTGTTAAAGTCAAACAGACAGTATTATGCCAGCCAAACTAGGTATACCCAACAGGTAAGCTAAGGTATGACACCCTCTTGAAACCCAGATACTGTATCTGAGGATACAATCCTGTGCATACTTAGACAGAATAAAGACCATACTTGCTAGGGAATGCTGGGAGCTGTAGGCTTTTTTCAATCTAAACATGTACAGGATTGTTCCCAAAGTTATACATACTGTATACCTTATAATCCCCATGCAGTCATAAATACAAGCCCATACACAGATACCTCATAGAAAGCTGTATATGCTGATGTAATCTACTGTGAACGTAAAGTGCAATTAAAAAAATCTAAAGTATGGCAGAAATCACTTAGAAGGAATAAAGCAACCCAAGTTGATAAGGCACAAGTAGAACTATTCCAAGCTGCAGAAAATGAATTGGTCCAAATCCTAAGAGAAATATGCCAGCAAATATGGAAAACAACTTCCATATTTGGCCCAGCAACTGGAAATGTTCAATATATATTCCAGTTCCCAAGAAAGGAGATGCAAAAGACTGCAGTCATAGGACCACTGTACTAAATTCCCACGCAAGCAAATGATGCTCAAGGTGTTGCAACAAAGAATTTTACTTTACCTGGGGTGAGAAATGATTGATGTTCTAGCTAGATTCTGAAAATAGTCACTTGAGATCTTTTCACAAATATAAAGAATTTCAGGAGAAGCTCAGTCTATGCTTTATAGACTACTGTGAAGCCTTTTGAGAATGAGAATCATGAGAAGCAATGAGTGGTTCTGAAAGATATGGGTGTGCCTCAGCACTTGATTGTCCTGGGCAAGATGTTAGAACAGAATATGAAGAAACAGAATGGTATGTTATAGGCAAAGGCATCAGATAAAGGTGTATTTTATCTCCTTGTCTGTTCAAGCTGTATGCAGAATACATTATAAGGAAAAGGGGTGAGAATTGGGGGAATAGCCATCAATAATTTATGATATGCAGATGATACTATATTGTTGGAAGAAAGAAACTTTTGATGAAAGCGAAAGAAGAAAGTGCAAACACAGGATTGCTGCTGAGCTGAGCAAGAAAGGGATGTTTGGGTCTTGATGAAAATGTGCTCAGCTACTGTGAAGAAGGCAAACTCCACGCAAGACATAATTAGGAATGGAATAGGAAATAGAATTGCCAAAATGCACCTGAAATATTGTGTTCGGTTCTGTTCGCCTTACCTGGAAAGGACATTATGAGTTGGAAAAAGTACAAAGAAGTGCAAAAATGATCAGGGGGCTAGAGGAGCTCCCCTAGGGACCGTGGCTACAACTGGGACAGTTCAGCTTGGAAAAAGGGCAACCAAGGTGAGACAGGATAGGTAGAGGTGTTTAAAATAATGCAGGATGTGGAGAAAATAGGGAGGGAGACATTTTTGTCCCTTTTCTATTACACTCAATCCCAGAGGCAAGGTGATTGGTGGGAGGATCAGAACTGCTAAAAGGAAGTGCTCCTCCACACAGGATATAGTTAAACTATGGAATTCACTGGCACAGGAAGTGGTGAAGGCCACCAATCCGGATGGCTTTAAAAGGGCAGATTTATGGAGGAGGAGGAGGAGGAGGAGGCAGCTATCAGTGGTTACTGGCCTTGCAAACTGCTGCCTCCTTGACCAGAGGTGGCCTGCCTGGATACACCAGTTGCTGAGGAGCTTGGGCAGGAGGAGGACTTGCACCCGTCCTGCTTGAGTGCTCCTGTGGAAAGCTGGTTGGTTACTAAGTGTAACAAGTGCTGGACTAGATGGACCTTGGGTCTGATCCAGCATGCCTTTCCTTATGTTCCGGTAGTGCTGTAATTATATACTATGTACACTGATTAATATGCCTATTAAAATAGTGTATTTTGATGCGATAAACAAATGTATACCTGCTCAACTGCAGAATGTTAGAAATTGGCATTGTAATGCTGGGCAGCAACACCACACTGTACCATCACTGTTTTGATATTGCCGACACAGGCACTGCAAGGATACTGAATTAATCTCCTCAGTGTCTCAGTGTAAATATAAGCAACAGTGTAAATAATCATCTCAGGGTAAATAAATGTAAGTAACAAGAGCGAAAGAGTTACCTAGTTACATCTCATTACACAAAAACATAAACCCACGCATAGTGCTGCTTACTCATTCATTCAATCACACACACACACATACACACAGTTTACGCAAAACCAACTCACTACGAATGGGAGTGAAAGCTGGACAGTGACGAGAGCTGGCAGGAAGAAAATAGATGCCTTTGAAACATGGTGCTGGAGGAGTTTTTCAAATACCCTGGACCGACAGAAAGCTGGGTCCTAGATCATATCAAGCCCAGGTTTTCCCCAGAAGCAAAAATGACACAACTGAGGCTGCCAGATTTCGCACAGAACATGAAAAGGCACGACTGGAGAAGGCGATCGTGCCAGGGCACGTCGAAAGCAGTAGAAAAGGGAGCGCGAATAAGCGATGGGCTGACTCCATAAAGGAAGGCACAGCCTTGATTTTTGCACAGCTAAGCAGGGCTGTCCTGGACAGGCCAATCTGGCGCATTTCATTCACAGGCGTCGCCGTTAGACGGAGATGACTTGACGGCACAGAACGGCAACGAGCAGCCACAAGTGCAGCGGCGCCACCTCCGCTGCTTCTGGTTAAGCACAGATTAAGTGCGCCGTTCTTTCCCCGCGCCCCAGTCTCCGCGAGAAGCACGGCCACCGAGGAGGCAGGAGCGCCGCCTACGGCTGCGGGCGCGGGAGGGCGCTTCCGCGGGAGGCCCCGCCCGCTCGGTGACGATGGCCGGCTCCGGCGAGGCGGCGGCACACGCGCTGTTCGCTTGGGTAGGTGCCAACCTTGCCGCGGCCCCGGGGAGGACGGAAGCGGCGGTCAGGCGGCCCCGGGAAGGAACAGGCAGGGCCGGGTGGGGAGCCACTGGTCTGCTGCGGTCCCCTGCCCCATCAGCCGTGGCGCTGCTGCATTTCCCGATTATCCGCCGTCGGAGGGAGCCCTGTGTAGATCCTTGCCGCCTCCTCCCGCCCCCCGCCTTCTTGTGCAGATAAACCTGAAACACTTCCTACATCTGAGCTGGTGGGCTGCAAAAACCTATAAAGGTGCTCTAAGGCGCCACAAGTCTCTCGTTTCTTCCAAATGGCTTTTCATCAGCACAGCCCATTTTGAAGGCGAATATCGCTCTCCACCCGTTCTGGTCTCTCTGCTATTTGCAAGTGTTCTGAAGCTTGAGCCACAGTGCTAATCGGTCTTCTGTGTTAATACCGTAAAAAAGAAAAGAAAAGATGCAGGCTTTGTTTATTTAACAGTAGTGCACCAACAGGTGACGCTTCCTTCTGCAGTGGAATCCCTATGCCAGGATAGGCCTATAAGGCATTCCAGATTTTCGTAAATGGATCCTCAGAGCCCTGTCGTGCTGCTTTTTATAAAGTGCGAAGCTCTCCGCAGAAAAGGGGTTGCAACGCAGCTCGAAAGGTGGAGCAAATCCTACAATTACCTTCATTTTAATCCAGAATTCCCTCAGGAGTTCTGAAGAGCCTCATGCACAGAACTTCTGGGATGCCCCTGTTAGGGCTTGTTCACATGGTTTGGGTGCCTCATTTTGAGAGACGGACGGGATTCGGATTTTTTTCCATCCAACTCAATATACAGTCCAGGCTTGTGCTGCTATCTGCTGGTCAGAAATGACACAGGCTCCACGTGTTATTGGGATTGTTATCTAGTAGTGTCTGATGAATGTGAGTTAGATGTTTTTGTTTTTATTATTACGTCTTAAATTCTAAGACTAACCCCTGGGACTTAAAAAATATGGGAAATTTTGTGGCAGAGAACTTGCAACTGGACAAGAGTCTAATGCTGGAAACAACAGATGGCAGAAGAAGAAGGGGATGGCAGAGAATGAGGTGGCTAGATGGAGTCACTGAAGCAGTCAGCATGAGCTTAGGTGGACTCCGGGGGATGGTGGAGGACAGGAAGGCCTGGAGGAATGTTGTCCATGGGGTCGCGATGGGTCGGACACGACTTTCCGACTAACAACAACATCCTCCCCCAATTTGTTCTATCTAGACTGCAGAAGGGTGGTACTGGCTGGTAATATTATACATCTTACTGGAAGATGAACAAGTGGATACAGTCCTCATGATGTGACTTGCATTATTATGTCTTGTAATAGTGTGTTTTGAGACAATATGGGAATAGCATCTAACAGGTTCTGGGCCCTGTATTTGTATTTGATACATGGCCTATTCTCACTGGTAAGCATCAGTTTCAGATTAGCAGGTTGTCTGTAAGTGGACTAACCTACCAGTGAGAAGACAATATTATCTACATGGCCAAGACTGCTGTTACTCTGTAATATATAAAGATAGTTAATTGTGAAAAATGTCCCATCAGCCAGGGAAGGCATGAATGAAAAGATAAGCCTTTAATATGTGCCTAAGACATGACACAGTTGGCCTCTTCAACATACGAAGGAGGGGTGCATTCTGCAGTTTGGGTGTCACCATGGAGAAGGTCTCTTTCTAAGGTGCTGCCAGACAGCAAATGTCAAATGCTGTACTGTTTTTTACAGTAGTTGCTGTTCATGCCCTTCAATTCTGATGGGCTCTCCAAAAGGGATAGCACCATGTTGACCTATCCTAAAACATAAACTTGTTGTAAACCCTTTCCTAGCAAGCAATAATTGAAACAGAAAGCCAGTGTAGTGAATAGCGGATAAAGTTTCGTGCTTATAATGGCTTACCTTTGAATTCCTAAATAACAATGAAGATCACTGGATGGCCTAACCTGACTCATAAAGTTAGGATTAAATGAGATCAAGTAGATAAGCAGAAAACTATGATTCATAATGCCCTGGAAATCCTTGAAAACTGCAAATCCTTGAATGAGCAATGTTTTTCTCAATCAGTGTATCTTTATTTGTGCCTCACCCCCAACATATAGGGAGCGAACAGCTATGGACAGCTTGGTCTTGGCCATAAAGAAGATGTATTCCTGCCCACGTCTCTGCAGCAATTTCTTTGTAATCAGACCAACATCAAAAGCATTGCTGGAGGAGGTGGACATTCTGTTGTTCTTACCGGTAAGAACTCAGTGTCAGTGTTTCTACCCATTGCAATGTCTGGCATCTTTGCAAATTTAATTTTTTAAGTCGCTTGAGTGCCATACTACTATCTTGTGAGATATAAGGGTTTCATAAAAATTGCAGTCTTCATTTTCCCTTAAACAGAATTGTTGGAATGCTATTTTTTGTCATCAACCAATACATGCAAGTTTGAAATGAAGTTACCTATAAACCTGCTAGAACAGATCACCACTCTGTTTAATTAAATGATATGGCCACATCTGGATGCCTGGGGAAATTTTTAGCAAGTCATTAAGCGTGCAATCATATGCATGTTTAGATAGAAAAATGGCCTACAATTCCCTACATTCTTCAGCCAGCATGGGAGTTGTAAAAAATGCATAGAATTGCATTTAATAGCATTTTTAATTGTCCATTCCTAGCTGTTGCCAGTTTAATGGGTATAAAACATATTTTCTTTTCTTACGGAGCTGAGGAGCTATTCAGCAACTCGGGGAATGGTAATCCATACAAATCTGTGGAAGACATTCTGGAATCAGAAATGCTTAGGCAGCACATACAGTGCCCCACAGCTTGCAAATGGTGGGGTAGCACCTATGATCGCCTCCAGTCTGTTCAGTACAGAGCCTGTTTGCTTTCAGGTATACAGGGAACTGCCAGATTGGCACTCAGACAATTGTCTCAGGGACACTTCAGTGGAGTTGCATGGCTTGTCAGTCTTAATGGGGCTATCTTTTGTGAAGAGCTTCATCCAGTCTTACGGGATGGACTGAGCAGTGCTTGGTACCCAGTTACTGAATTTAAATACTAGCAGGGTTAGGACAATTAACTTATGTAGACCTCCAGATGATGGTGGACTACAGCTTCTGAAATGGAATTCAGCAACATCTAAAGCGCCACAGGTTCTCCACCTTTGTAGAAGGAGAGGAGAGGACTATGTGAACATGAAAGTACAAATGTGAACATAGACAAATAAGAATTTTAGGATCTTAATGTGCAAGTCATTATTGAGTCAAAAATGTACAGGGCTATATTTTGCTTCTGTTGTATGTGTGCTGATAGTGCTTGTTCATTTTGCAGAAACTGGAGAACTCTTTCTATGTGGCCAAAATAATGATGGGCAGTTGGGACTTGGTCACACTGAAGACGTGATGCACTTTACCTTATGTACTTCTCTGACTGGTTGTCCTGTCATGCAAGTTGCCTGTGGTTGGGACTTTACAATCATACTTGCTGGTAAGGACGTATGAAAAGATCTGCTGGGTCAGAGCAAATGCCTGTCCAGCATTCTGGTCCAACAGTGGCTAACCAGATGTCTCTTGGACAGCCTACAACCAGGACTTGAGTCCAGATGAGTAGGGCTGGACAAATCTGTATATTTTGGTTTTTCCTTCTTTAGCGTTTTTCAAGTCTTACATTCTGAACTCTGAAATTAAAAAAAAAAAAAGTTTGCATGAAAATGCATAAATATTTCTGTACATGCATTTTGTACATAATTTTGCCTAATATAAATATTTTTGGAAGTGTGTTTTCATGTAATACAGTTGCACATGGTATTTTCATGGTATACAAATTTCTGTGTGCATTTTCTTGTGGAGTGTTTTACTTGAAAAAATAATACTAAATAAATAAGAATAATCTTCCTTCTAGTATATGCACTTGTTGATTGGAAAACTCAAGTATAAAATTTGGGAAGATTTTAGTCTGCGTATTGGTTTGAAAATGTAAAGTTAGGTAATTTTGCATTGAAATACGAACCAAATAAATTTCTCCCCTACCCCTAATTTAGAGGCATACTGCCTCTGATACTGGAGGCAGCTTATAGCTCTCTGGGCTAATAAGCATTGCTCGCTTAGCCTCCATGAATATGTCCAGTCCATTTTCAAAGCAGTCTTAGTTTTAATCCCTCTTTGTTGTTATATTTATATCTATCCATTTCTATCTATCTATTTTTCAATTTATATCCTGCCTTTTTCCTCAAAGGGCTCAAGGCAGCTTACATTAATCTCCTCCTCCATCTTATCCCCACAACAACAACCCTGTGAGGTAGGTTGGGCTGAGAGGCTGTGACTGGCCCAATGTCACCCAGCTGGCTCCATGGCCGAGTGAGGACTAGAACCCAGATCGTCTGAGTCCCAGTCCCATGCTTTTAACCACTACACCACACTATCGCACCTATCCCACCTATTTTCCTATTGAAAGGAACCCAAGGCAGCCTACCAAGTCCTCATCTTCTCCATTTTATTTTCACAACAACCCTGTGAGGTAGGTTTGTCTCAGTGACTAGTCCAGAGTTACCTAGTGAACTTCATGGTCATCTGGAGAGTCTGCCTGTATCGCCCAAGTCCTAGTCCAGCATTCTAACCAGTTTGCCATCACTGTATCCTAGATCTGTCACTAGGGCTAAAACAAACATATAATAAAAGTACCAAGCTCTGAAAAGACCTCCCAAAATACCCAATAGCTTTACAGAGTTCTATAAGTAAAATAAAAAGGATGCAAATAAGTGGGTGTTTGGCAGTTTTTCTGGGTTTAACTAAGTGTTGCTATAATATAATGGTTAAGAAAATAAGCTTGGAATAAACACTCTTGCTTTGCACTCATCAGGTGTCTATTGCATCATGGGGCACAATTTAACAAATGTCACATGCAACAAATCCATACAATAAGTGGGTCTTTCTTAAATTAGTAACACTTGTAGTAGTCCATTTCTTTGCATTCAGTGGAATGTAGAATGTGATTGGGGTTTGTTGCCTCTTACTAGCTGTTCCTAATGCCTTAGATTGGAACATGAGGTAAACAATGAAATTGTTGCAGTCCACTGGTCTGTCTTGCAGAAAATGGCCAAGTGTTCTCTTGTGGATCGAATTCTTTTGGACAATTGGGAGTTCCTCACACTTCTGGAAGATGTACTGCTCCAGGGAGGATTGAGGTAAAGTGTTTTATAAATTGGTGCTGTTCCCTTACCCATTATGGTAGAAAAGACGTGTTTTTACTGTTATTAAAAAAACCGAAATAGTTTCTTTTCCAAGCCACTTCAGTGTAGAGCTCTGGGATGTACTGGTTTTGTTAAATCAATTCCATCTGTGTTTCTCAGATTGGCAGGAACCTTTTGTTCCATCATCTGCTCACTGAATGGGATTTATTTTCCATTTCCAAACTTGAGCTTTTCTGTATTTATGTGCAAATTTGTACTTCCAAAAATGTGCAACCCCCATGTGTATTTTTGCCTATAGGAGAAAGTGCACATTTTTGGTTGGGTGGGTTTTATTATTTTTGTATTTTTTCTACTACTGAATTTCTGGAGAGTAAAAAAACTGGTCTGTAAGTCTGTGGAATTTGTGTTACTGAAGAAGAAGCAGTGTACTGGGAAACTTGTGGTTGGATTCACAGAATGCTGCTGCATTTGAATCTGTTAAAGAGTTCTTTAATATCCTTAGTAAATCAGCCTTTTCCAAAGTGGTGCTCTGGACTTGATCTCCCATCAGTCTTACACAACATAGAATATTGAGAATTGTAGTCCAAAACATCTGGCAGGTACCAGGTACCAGGTCATCATTGTAGAACCTGATGTTAATTTGTCTCATGCATGTGCTACATGTTTTTAAACTGATCTTAATTTATTGAGCATTTATTGACTTACAAATAGAATTATTTTCAGTAGTCTTTCCCCAAGGTAATGAAAAGTGTGCTTTCCTTTATTTCATAGTCTTTACAGGACAGAGTGATAAATGTTGCTGCTGGACTGAGACATGCACTTGCTGTCTCTGGTGAGTTATGCCTTTGCCACTTTTTATCCTTTTTTTTTTAGTGAGAAACCAGTAATAACTATTTAAAAATGCTTTACCAGGTGAAAAGATGAATTTCTGTCTGCAGCAATAATTGCCACACGACGTCACGTAACAAGAAAGAATTCCTCTCCAGTTATTCATTAACCCTTCACTTTAATATATTTTAGAAACTTGCTTATTATCATTGGCCTTTATTTTATCCCATTGTAAAGTGTCCCAGATGTGGCCCAGTGAACGTTTAAAAGGAATCTGTAGTAGGTGTAGTAATAGTATTAGCAATAGTGATATGGATTTTACATTAGGACTGTAAAACTGTACAACTAAGGTACAATTTTATTCAGCAAAGGCCTATAACTCCCAGCATGCTCCAGGCAGCACACGCTTCTTGTAGGCCTTTGTTCTGTTTAAACTTGCATAGGTTTGTACCCCTAGTGTCTTACCTTTCAAATAAAAACCCTGGAAATAAATATGATTCTGCTCCCTCTGATACAGTCTGGGACAATGAGGAATGTGGCCCCTTGTACCTTTGTTCAGGTTAGAGAGTTGGATCATATCGTGCCAATTCTGTACCACCTGCACCGGTTGCCAGTCTATTTCCAAGCCTAATTCAAAGTGATGCTTTTGTCCTCACTTTGTTCTGAGGCCTTCCTTACACCAGGCATTCACTGCATGCTCATGGCCCCTCAATCATGCTTGTGGCTCCTTTACACTGCATTATCCTCCAGGGCTTTTCTTGTGCTTTCTGGACCTTTTTGTGGCTTCTTTAGGGGGAGGACAGTCAGCTATTATTTCTTACTGAGCTAGGAAGTACTGCAAAATATTGGGCTAATTCTTACAGTTGTGCCACCCTGCTGTGTAATACAACACAGAGGATGGCAGAGAAAGAAACTTTGCTCTCAAAAACCCATGTATAAAGGACATGGTCTTCATCCTGCTAAGAAAATGGGAAAGGAATCCCCTGTAAAATGGCACATTAAATGCGTCATGTAGAGGAACCATAAGTGTTCTGGATCAAGTGTATTAAAAAGCCCACCTTCACCCATATGAATCTGTCCATGCCTTAAGATAATCTTTGGGGGCACTATCTATTCACCTTTCAGTATGATCAGTAGTAGCCCCCAGCCTACAGAACTCCTTTCTGACAGATGGTTGCTTTGGCTTACCTTTATCTTATCTACACATAACTTTATCTTATGTGTATTCTAAAGAACGGGACATTTGAAGTGACCCAGAATTGGATACTAATATATTCTATTTGGGTTCTTGGGGTTGTTTTTTTTTTACTGTTAAACTGTTCTATTGTTGCAACATACAGTTTATTTTTCAAATTTAATGCGTCAAATAATACTACAATTATTGACATATTATTTTTAGTCTATTCTAGTCTATTCTGTTAATTGTTCACCTTAAACAATCAATTTCCTTTCGTATGGGCATACTGAAAAGAAAATGGTTCGGTGTTCCAGTGGGGAATTGGTATGGCATCTCAAGCAAAGCGGGCATCCCAAGGGGAAACAGTCCCATCCTTCTTGAGGTCAAAAGAGCCTTGCAAAGTAACAGGTTTGTTTTCTAAAAGTTATATTGTATTTCTGCTTGTAATGTGTTAGACATGGAACCTTCAAGGCATGGCGCTTTGCATGTATGCTGGGATCCACAAATGGCTTAGTGAGGAGCCATTACTTGTGTCTGTCCTCCAGTGCCACTGATGCTTTCCCGCCCAAGGCCTTTGCTGCCCAGTGCTGCTGTAACAGGATGTTTCCAACTCTATCATGCTGTGTGAGCCCAGCCCAAGCCCAAAACCGGGCCTCATGCCTGCACTTGGGGCTCCACGTTTTGCAGCAGGCACCACCCCAGTCCCATCTCCTACTGCATGATGGCTGTGTCAGAGGACAAAGCAGGATTCCCTTTGCCATGGATCCTTCCATGCCTCTTTGTTAGTAGAAGAGCAATTGGATGGGAGGTCTGATGGAACAGGGCATTCCAAGGTTTCTCTGTGGAGAACATCTAATTCCTGTTCCACTTTATTTTATTTTATTTTTGTGATATTTGTATGCCATCCTATTGCAAAAGCCTAAGGACAGCTTACATAAATAAAATACAAATGTCAATATAAATAAATTATAACAAAATACCAACATAAAATTCAACATAAACAAATCAACCCACTCTGGCTGCAGTTAAAAATATAATATTAAAAATACAATATTAAAGCTTATTAAAATATTGATGAAATAAAAAGGTCTTAACCTGGTGCAGAAAAACATATAATGATGGTACCAGGCAGACCTCTCTGGGGAGCACATTCCATAGGCAGGGCACCACCGCAGAGAAAGCCCTCCTCCGGGTACTTTGCCTCCTAATATCTCTCACAGAGGGTTCCCGGAGGAGGGCTTCTGCTGCCGATCTCAGGGGGCAGGAGGGCAAATAGGGAAGAAGGCGTTCCTTTAGGTATCCAGGTCCCAAGCCGTTTAGGGCTTTATAGGTAATAACCAGCACCTATATAGAAACTGCGCCCTGCAGAGTAAACAGAAAAATCCATTTATTAGCATTGTTCAAAGCACCCTTTCCCAATGGCCGTGCTGGCTGGGAATTAAGGGAGCTGGAGTCCCATGGATTTGAAGGGCAGCAAGGTGGGGAAGGCTGGTGTAAAGTATAAACCCAGATATCAGTCAATTAATCCACCAGTCAGTCAGAGCTCATAATAATAGATATGGGAGAATAAAATACAAAACTGTTGCTTGATTTACAGGAATTAAATTGTAAAAAGTCATCAGACTCATAGAATCAGAGAATAGCAGAGTTGGAATAGAAAAAAATTGTATGCATTTTTGAGTGAAGAACTCTTGTAAAATCAAGGAAGTGTGAATTTTGATGGATGGCTGAATTTTGCTTTGCATATTGGTCTGAAATTGCAGCATTAGGGGTACAGTCTTACTGGGGTGCCTGTAAACCCCAAAACGTAGAGACAGAATGGGAGAAGTGGCAAAGGCAATCCCACCTCTCTGTCCCCTGTCCTTCATTTTTGCCAGAGAGGCTTTTGGCTGGTCCAGCTTGGGGGTCCCAGAGCAGGAGGGAAGGAGGCTGGAACGGTTTCAAGAGAGCTTGTATCCTGGTCACCCCAGTCTCCTCCCCTGCCTCCCCACTGGAACTGCTCTCTGAGGTCACTTTCCCAACCTCAGGAAGCAGATGGTACTTTTCTTTCTGTGCTGGCTGCAAGGGATCAGGGGAGCGGCCTGGAGCTCCAGCTATTAGTTCCAGGGTTGGCACACTGACTTGGACCTTAGGGCTCCAAATCCAAACTATCCTGTGGCCCTACAGGCAATATCTAGGGGCTGCAGGATTGTTCCTTAGTAAATTTGCGTCAGAATGTGAATTTCTCACCAAATCAAGTTTGGCAATATGAATTTATTCTTATGGCTGGTAAACCAAAATATGTCACATTTTAGATTCAGATTTGGGAAGCAGTCTGATGGCTTCTCATGTACTTCCATTGCTATGTTAGACATTTGGCAAATAATGCTTGGAAACTCTGTCACTTGGCATGACTAGTGAAGTGGATGTAACATCATAGTTATGGCTTTGCACGCCTTCCAGTGGTTATTTCAGCAAGCGCAGCAAACGCCTGCAAAGCTGGCAGCATGATATGCAAGTGATTTCCTCCTCCTACATTTTCCTTTTCTGAATGCAAAAAAGTGTTTAATCAAAATGCCTTTTAGATTGTCCTTATTAGGAGTCTGCACAATAACGATGCTTCTTAGCTCATCTGTGCCCTCTTCTCTACACTTGACTACACCTTCTTCTCTCCTTGTGGCTATGCATACCACTCCAGTAACCTCAACAGCCATTCTACTTTTATTGAAAGCTCTGCTATGTGCTAAATTTTCTTTTAAATAGCTCAGTTGCACATAGATGAGCTCTGATCTATAAAATTAACAAAATCCAAGTAGCTTCCTTCCTTGCAGATCCTGCATTTGCATCTTTCTTTTTTCACTGTTCTCTTCTTATGCACCAGTGTGTTGTGATTTTCTGGATTGCAACATGCCACAGTGAAATGAATTATGATTCTTATTATTACTACTACTACTATTATTAATTTTATTTCTATACCACCCCATAGTCAAAGCCATCTGGGTTATGTACAGCAACTCTCTATTCCTAAAGAAATATAATGGATTATATCTCTCTTCATCAAATGAAATATAATGGAATATATTATGGATTATTAGGTCTAGAAAACACCAAAGTGAAGAGTGTCACTTCTGGCTCATACCATGTTGTCTCACTCACTGGTAAGTTTCTCTGTGTGCTCCCTTCTTTGTTTGGTTGAAATATGCATGGCATTCCATCTTTGGACATAGTTCAACTTACCTGTGAAATGTGTATGTCGTGTGCGGTTCAGTATTCATATTTAATACAAGTGTATCTTGCAACACATACTTCCTATTCCCACCTTCTTTAACAGATTAGGATATTCTTTTAAACTTTTGGAATATGAAAGAGCTTTTGAAAAAAGCTATGTTTAGCTTCTTTCCCTGAAACTCTATATCCATTTCCTTAGCTTTTCTCCCATTGCACAATTTTAATAAAGATGGGGAAGCCACTTTGGCTCATTTAAATCAGCAAATTTTGTGTAGTGCTATGTTTATTTGTTGTATTTACCTTTTCAGAAGTTTTGCGAAGAGCTAAGCTGCAGCCCTGCACAATTGTGTACCTCTGGTTATAGCCAGTGCTGTCTTTGCACTACTGGGAAGCATTTCTGCTCCTGGTTTTCAGTGTTAGTGCAACCCTGCACTCCCCATATCTACCGTGCAGTCCCTACAGCTGTTTCTGTGGGTTGAGTATGAGAATAGTATTGGGAGATGCTGCAAGTGTGAGAAATGGGTGTCCTGCCTTGTGTGACCAGAAATGCTCCCCAGGAGCATCACACCACTGTGGAATGCTGCGCATTGCAACTTAGCCTCCTGTTCCTTTGCGATACCTGAATTGCAATTTAATTATTTTTTAAAAATTGATTTTTTTAAAAAACATTCATCTGTGTCATATCCAAAGACAGGAAATGCAAAAAAGAACATTGACATTTAATGCCTATCAAGACACTTTCTGTGCCCTTTCTTAACACTTTCCTTTCCTTCTAAGATGATGGAGAGTTGTACGTTTGGGGGAGCAACAAAAACAAGCAGCTGGTGAGCAAAGCTGGCTTTGTGTTGAAACCCCTGAAGTTAGAAGCTCAGTATTTTGGGGGTGAAAAGGTCAAAAGAATCTGGAATGGATGGACCCATATGATCGCACAAACAGGTAGGACATAAAAGTAGGACAACTAAACATTCATTTACTTTATTGAAATTCTTATTTATAAAAAGGTGCATTCAGGCATCTTCACATTGTGCTGTGTGGAAGGTGTGGCAATATCCTGTCACTGAAAATGCAAGTTATGAATTGGACTTTAGGACTCAGCTGTGTGAGTTTTCAGAGACCCTAGCTTGTTGCGGTGTCCTGATGCAGGAGAAGAATCCAAGATAGGGCGAGGGAGGAGGAGGAAAGTCAGCTTAAAAGTGATTTTGAATGGTGTTGTGTCCTTGGTTTGTGATGGACAATTTCCCAAGGGAATGTGGGATATTTTACATAATGCTGTTGGATCATCTCAGAAAATTACAGTTTAGTGTATCCTTTTCAGAATCCCTGACCATTTGTCATGCTTGCTGGGGCTGATAAAAATTGAAATACTGAAAAGGGGCATCCCTTTGGGGAATAATTTAGTTTTCTGGATATTCTTTCTCCTCCGGTGTAGCTGAGAGGAGGTGACTGGAAGCATTTGCCACTCCTTTTGCTTAACTTTTTGTTACGGTTGTGCCCATAACTTAATTGTGGTGCATCATAGATCTTTCCTATATGTAAAGGCTAATTGCCTTTCAAGGGTTTCTGATCTCATGCATAGAATACTTTGCCTACAGAGTTCTTCATACCAGGGCCTTTTTGCAGCATTCGATCAATGTACATGGGGATGGCAAAATAATGTACTAAAAGGCATGAATTAGTGGCATTCCGTAAGAGAATCAAAGAACCTGCCACGGAACTTGGGAAGCTTGGATGTAGGGCTGGGGAAGAGCCCTGTATGGGACTCTGGAAAGCCACTGCTAGATAGACTAGGGGTCTGACTTGGAGCAGCATTTTTTATCCCGTGCCCTAGTATTGCTGTGGCCAAGGCATAATAATCCTTTAGGCTGTGTTCTGTAAAGTCCAATCATGTATAAACCGTGTAGCCTTCTAGTACTTCAAAGACGAACAGGTGTGCTCCTCTTTAAGGCTCCACAAAACTCTTTGACCTGGTTTGCCTGACCACTGCAGCCCCCCCCCCGGGGGGGGGCTTATTAGCCACAGGGGCTTGCCACACCCACAGGCGCCAGGCTCCCAAACCTAGTCTTCTCTGCTTCAACTTCTGGTGTCACCCAAGCCAGTGAGGGTAACTTTTTGTAACTAACTGCCCTACATCAGACCATATGTTTTGGGCAGCTTGCTAACCATTCCAACAAGCCACCTGTGCCAGGTTTGGGTGACCTGAGAAGCTGTGCCTGGTGGGCATTTGTGCCAATCAGCTGGAATGCAAACAGCAAGTGCAATATGATTACCAAGCCCTGTGGCTTTGTAGCCACCCTGTGATGCTGTGAACTGGGCTTCTGTTTCAGGGAAAGAATGGCAAGAGTGGCCACCTCTCTGTCATGTGTACTGGAATGTGTAGCTTCTTTTGCAGTTATCCTTACAGGCTGCATTATCAAAAGTACTAACGGATTGCATAACCTAAGCTGAAAGTTGCTGCTTGTAGCTGCTATTTATTATGAAGATGGGACTAGGTTCTGTAATGCACCAGATGTAAATTAGGTTACATAAGGAGAGCACAGAAGTTCTTTGACTGAAGGGAGCCCTAAATATAGCAGGAGGGTGGTGAGGAACAGCAGAATGAGCATCTTAAGCCTCACAAAAGGTGAGTCATCCTCAGTTCAGAACAAGTGCCTTCCTCCTTAAACTGGCATGGCCGATAACAAAGGCAGCCTTAATGAAGAAAGTGTATTTGTCTCGGTCTCTTCTGAATAAATGTGCTAATCTGTCAAGTACCATCAACTCAAATTACCATAAAAAGGGTAAATAAATTCTCCATACAACAAAGATTTACAAGCTCCTTCCCCTGAAAGTTGGTATTAAAATTGCACACGCTTACAATGCCATTTTCTACTGCGGCAAAAATCCAACTGGAGCTGTAAAACATCCCAGAAGAAAAATGCATAATGAAACCACTGGGGGAATGTTGCTGTGTAGCATCCTGGTTTTCCAACAAAATCATACCTGAATTTCAACTTGTTTGGAAGCCCTTTAGCAGCACTTCACAGACCTTTTCCTGTGCAGAGCGTCCCATCTGGGTCAGGACTGCAGTGGAGGCAAAGGGTTAACCCTCCCGTGCCTTACTTCTCAGGTCCTGATCTGAATTTGGCCACCCACACTGGCAATTTGTGAGAACAAATCTGTGCTTCAGGGCAGAAGTTAAGTGATTAAAAGCACCTGCAATTTGTCCAACAGGAAAGAACTTCACATGTTAGGTGCCCCTCCCCACTTTCAAGGGTTCCATAGCAGAATCGGAGGTTTCATTGTGTCCTACATATTTTAAGTGAGTGAGGATTCGCTTTTGCTCTTGCTGCTTTTGAGCTGTTTAGTCAGAACACTTTCAGCCCCCATGTAAATATTCTAGGCAATGTTCCCAGAAAAGGAAACACATATTAAGAGAAGCTTAAGACTACCAGTGAGCTAAATTAAATTGTTGGAGTTGCAAGAATTCAGAAATGGTTAATTGCATGCCTCATGCTAATTTTGTTAGAAATACAAAAATGATGTTCCTTATTACTGCATATTGAAGGATGCAACATCATAGCCAATGGCTCAATCTTATACATGAGTCATTATTAAGTTTCCATAAGTTTGTACAGAACTCCTGATTTAGAGCGCAAATCAGGAGATCTTCCTTCCTTACCTCAGTCATGAGCTATTTTTCATCCTTCTGCAATATTTATTGATTTATTTGTTTAATTAGTTATATCATGCCTTTTTTCCCTTTCAAGGAATTCAACCAAACCTTAATTTACAGGGTTGTCCTAAGGATCACTGAGGTAATACATTTAAAGCCCTTTGAACATTGAAAAAGGATCTAAATAAATGCTAAGTATTAATAACTCATTTAATGTGAAGTAAGAACTTAATCAAGAGATTGTTGCATGATAATCTCCTGGTAGGAGACTAACCTTCTGGAAGCAGAGGTATTTCTCCCCCACCTTTTACAGAAGTTGTTTTGAGAAGATGAAAAGGATGAGAGAGATAATTACATAGTTGTGTTTCCCCTCACTTTTGTCCTTGTTGAACTTCATGTGCAGATGGAGGCAGTGAGCACTTTTATAACTGCTTCCAATGGCACGCCACTCCTGCCTCCCTTCCCTCTCTCAGAGACTGTCCTTCTGCTCTCAGAGTACCTCCGAGGTGGGAAATAGGCTTAGTTGCAAATAGCATGATGTTAAATAATGATTACCATATGAAATGATATTATTTCCTTAGGTTTAAGTTCAATATTCTAATTGTTCAAAAAAACCCTTACTCCTACCTTCTTTCTCTGGTGTTTGCTGGCTTTTTAATTTTTTGAGCCTCGAGATACATTCTCTGCTTCCCTTGTCCAAATAATTTAGCAAGATCTAATTCAGGCAAAGCCTCTGTGGGGAAAAGTTGCATGCTAACACTCTCCTGTTTGACAATGTCATGCATATTACTCTTGGAGTGTGGTTGTTCTGTCAGCTGCATTAATGTTCCACAGAATAACCTTCTCTTTTAAAGCTTTAGGCATAAAAATATTATGTACAGCTGATTCAAATGCCTTTCTAAAGTTCACATAGGCTTATTACATTGGAAGGCCTGGACATCTGAGTCTAATTCATAGGTTGCCTATCTTTCAACTTGATTATCATTGGTTACTGATGAAGTATGAGCACTGAAGAAAAACACTGTTTTTTGAAGTCGCAAGATCTAAGACTTTTCTGCAGTGGTTTGGTTCTTAAGGTTTAGCTGTGTGTCCATGGCAAACTTACTTCGAACACCTCCTTGTACAGGCTACAGGATAGACTGAAGTCAAGCTAACAGGGTGATATCATCTGCATTCTTTTTGAAGGCGTGCCATATTTTCCCTTTCTTTGATATTTTTGTTTGACTTCTCACTGATCCATGTTAGTAGTAGACCTGAGACTTCTTCAGTTAGTTGCTCAAGTCCCTGAGGACCAGTAACAAGGATTAAACTTTTGAAAAGCAAATTGCAAATGTTTGAAGGTGGCATGATATAGTAGTTATAGGAGACATCGATTTTTCAATATCTGTTGGGAGACAAATTCTGCCAAATGTGGCCCTTCCAAAAAGGCTGCTAACATGGGTTGCTGATAATTTCCTCCTACAGAAAGTGGAGGAATGAACTAGAGGAACTGCTATCTTTGAGCTGATTCTAACCAACAGGGAAAACCTAGTGGACAGAGTGGCAATTACAGGAACTCTGGGTAAAAAAGAAGCAAGAGCCAGGTGTGGCCAAATATGCACCCTGGATTTTAGAAAAGCCAATTTTAATAAACTGAAAAACGATGAGTAAAGTTCCATGGCAAGTGATGCTAATGAGAAAAGGTGTCCATGGTCAGTGGGAGTAATAAAAAAAATCTAAATATCAATCAATTCCAGCAAGGCGAAAAAGTAGAAGACAACAGAAGAAGTCTGTGTGGTCTGCAAAAAGGGACATGTATAGGAAGTGGAAGGAAGGCTTGGCTACAGAGGCAGCATGGAATTGCAGGGATGGTCTCAGGAAGGCTAAAGCTAGGAAAGGATTGAGGTTAGTAAGGGATGCTAAAAGCAGCAAAAAAAACCAAACCTCCTTTAGATACATCCATGATAAAGGACAGAGGAAAGTAATGGTGGTTCAGCTACTAAGTGTAGATGACAAAATGATAACAGATGGCAGAGAAGAGGAAGAAGTGTTCAATTCCTACCTCGGCTCAGTCTTCACCCAAAAGAGGCTCTATGGCCTTACTGACAAAGGGGAAATATGAGTGAAGGAGCAGGATGGCAGCTGGAGACTGAGAGGCAAGTGGTCAAGGCTCCCCTAATTGAGTTGAGTGAGTTCAACTCTCGAGGGCCCGATGAACTGCATCCTAGAGTCATAAAGGAGCTGACAGAAGAACCACTATTATCTTTGCGAAACCATGGAGGGCGGGGGAAGCTTCAGATGACTG